AAATGTATATTTTTTCTGTGGTTATTTTTTAATTTTTTTGTACCTTTAGATTTTTTAGTCTTTATATACCAGTAATAGAGATAAATAAATAAAGCAAGATGAGTTTTACTAATATAAAAAATCAATCTTTTGAGTGATGCTTTATTTCCCCTCCACATTTCATTGCTCCTAAATTTCCTTTGCACGGAATTATTTCTGTTTGAAATCGATCCCAAGTTTTCCCTAGGTAGCACCATAGACTTTTAGAAGCTGAATATATTCTGTTTTTATTTTTATTCTAGATATACTGAGAGTCTCTACGCCCTTTTTTCAATTGGAGGATTATATTACTTCACAAGTGGTGCAAGAAATATTGCTACACTTTGGTTTGCTCTCTCTGGGTTTTCACGGTCAAATGGAATACTTACTGCAGGCTATATATGTTTTCAGATGATGCATTCTGTTTACAGTTCTGCTGTTCTAAAAAAGCATGCAATTGTAAGTATTACACTATTACTGTAAATATATGTCCTCCCTTTTAATATAGGAACACTGATTTTTTCATAAATTTAAAATTACAATCAGAATTATCAAAAACTATTTTAAAAAAGTCAAGTTATCTATATGTATAAAATTTGTCTCACAATTTTTCACATGGTGTCAGTTTGTTTTCTGGGAACTTATTGTCGGTGCTATTCGTAGCATATGCATTATTTTCCCATTCATTGGTTTCCAAGCTTATGGATATTACAATATCTGTGTGGGACATTCTCCAAGTCCATGGTGCAAGAAAAGGATACCTCTATTCTATGACTATATCCAAGGTCATTATTGGTAATGATGTTCCGTTTCCCTCTTGCCAATATTCCTTTTCCATGTTATTCGTTCTTTTTAAACATTGATTGATTTCTTGGTTTCAGGGGAGTGGGATTCTTGAGGTATTTTCAAATAAAACAAATCCCAAACTTTGTACTCGCTTCTCCAGTGTTGTCTCTTGCACTTTGTTCAATTATTCATTACGTGAAGCTAGAGCCGAAAGTTTTTCTCTCCCTAGGCTTCAGAAGAGTCTCTTCTCCTATGAATGATAATAAAGGGGGGCAGGACAGTGCTCGCCTTTTGGTGATGAAAGATGATGCCTCTTACAAATTGAATGAAGGTATCAATCTGTTCTTCTCTAAGATTTATATATGATACAAGTTCTACATTTTGATATCAATATACGTCGGGTTACTACTCAAACAGAACAATTGTGTGTGTGTGTGTGTGTGTCTGTGACAGGTGGTGATTGTGCCCTTAAACAACGGAAACACGTTGCTACTGTTGGAAGAAGACAGAATTTTACTGCCTTAGAAACTGGAAAAACAGATGATAATAATCTCTCAACAGCAGCTATAATACAAGTACCTTTGGTTCTCCATCTCGGATTCATGACAGCCACAGCTTTTCTTGTCATGCATGTGCAGGTCTAATATATACATATACATGATTACAATTAGTTATTTGAAACCTTTTGGATTAAGAATAAAACCTAACAATTTCGTCATTTGTGTCTTGAATGCTTGACATTGTTTTGACACAGGTTGCAACCCGGTTCTTATCTGCCAGCCCACCTCTCTACTGGTTTTCTTCATATGTTATGATGTCAGCTTCTTCTTCTTCTAAGCGTAACATTGCGCAGAGGGGATTTGGGTGCGGGTATTGTATTTGGGTGTATTGCTGGGCATACATCTTTCTTGGCACTCTTCTCTTTTCGAACTTCTACCCTTTCACTTGATAAAAGAATACCACAAGCAAGTCTTGTCTCTTTATTAGACTCGGGCTCTAGTCAACGACACTGATTCACTTGATGTTAATTCATGTATTTAGGTGTAACCCACATGAAGACATCAAATGTTGCGGGAAATTAACTTAAACATGCACACTTTGATAGAGAGGTTCTAAAACGTGTAATGGTATACAACAATAGACCATACCACAGTGACACCAAGTTTGACACCAATACCACAGACATTGCATAAACAGTCTTTGAGTACTTGCACATCAAAGGGGGTCTGTGCATGTCTGTTACAATGGTGTCATCAATGATGTCAAACCCTAATATTATAATAGCATTTCCCATGTGTTGATTTTGAATTTGTGCACATGGGTGGTAGTATGCCAAGTGTGAAAATTTGAGGCGACAATACAATATATTGCTTCAAAAAAATGAAGCTAGCTATAACTAAATAACGGTCAGTTTACATGAGATGTGGACTCTATATCACAGTGTAACTATCTCTCTGAAACTTTCGACAACATGCTCTAATGATGCCAGACCCCAGTGATATATGCAAATCTGAAACCCGCATATGATGCATCAATGAAGTAAGTTTTTTTTGTATACCCATTCTCTCATTTACTCCATATATAAGTATTATTTGTATATCCATTTTCTCATTTACTCTGTATATAAGTATTATTACACATGGTCTGAAACTTGTTGGATTTATATGGCTGAAACAGGTTAAATTGGTTGTTTTGCTTGAAACCAAGACAAGACCTGTGCATTGTTCGGGCAAAGCAAAAGATTAAAATTTCTGCAGATTTTCAGAGTTTTCCTAACCGAGCTTCCTTGTATGTTAAACGCAGAGTTTCCATACAATTCGAAGGTATGATTTTTCATGGTTTAAAGTTATTTGGAGTAAGTCTTAGGAAGTTATAAGTGGCAAAGCAGTGACAGCATACAAGGTACAACCAATCTAATTATTTTGATGATGTTTTGTTTTAGTACACGAAAAGTTAGTTAATTTAGTGAGCTTATGAGAGGGGTGTTTTAGTGTTTATAAATTTACACACATATTGTTTGGGATGAGGACCTATTGATGAAGTATTTCATTTGTAAGTTGAAGACATTTCACATGAATGCTTCAAGAAATGATGCATTCAACTTTAATACGGAGTACTTCAAGAAATGACTCAATCAGCATTAAAAATTCCACAAATATAACTTAGTTGGCAATCTGGAATAAAAAGGTAAAAATAAATAATTTCTAAGAACAATCGTGTCAATTGTTAAAACACCTTGGTTCCCAATGTCATGGGATGACCCGGGGGCGCTCCGGTGCCCCGTTCGTAAAATTAATGGTTCCTACCCCTCCTAACCCTCCTGGTAAACCCCCCCACCCCGCCCCGACCCGAACACACCCCCCCACCCCCTTCAATTGCATCCCACAAGTCAATTTTGACTTTGGAGTCAAAATTTGACTCCAAAGTCAAAATTGACATGTGGGGTGCAATTGAAGGGGGTGGGGGGGGGGGTGTGTTCGGGTCGGGGCGGGGTGGGGGGGTTTACCGGGGGAGTAGGAACCGTCAATTTTACGAACGGGACACCGGAGCGCCCCCGGGTCATCCCATGAACCTTCCCCTTGTTAAAATCCAAAGTATTAACACCATTGTCCTCAGGGATATGTCTCTGGTTTACCATGGCTTCTGATTTCTAAGCATATTTGTGGACCCTACACTAAGAGGGAATGTTCTTTTGGATTGGAATTTTAGAGTTAAATTTTGAAAGACACTAGAAAGAATGGGAAGAAACTGGAAGGAGTTTGAAAAAATTAGGAGTTTGGAAAATGTTAGAAGAATTTAAGTGTTAAAAAGTCACTCAATGAAATGATCACCCAAATAAATATGTAAGAAAATTCTAATTTTGGATAAAAAAGAATTCATCATTGTCCATATTTGAGGCGATATGTTATAAATTTAGATATATAATGTTATTTTATACTCCGTATTAATCATATATAAATACCTTTTTAAGTTGTTGAAAGAAACGGGAAAGAATTGGAAGCAGTTAGAAGTTAATTTTTCCAATCCAAAAAAACAGTGCCTAGACGTGAAGCTGGTATTCGAGTGGTTAAATATCTGGCATCGAAAGTAGACAGAATGAGCATTGAAGCCAAAAGATTTACTCAATTTCTGGTATGAAGATAAAAATAAGGGCAATGCTAGGGGTACACCAACATGGGGTACCCCAAGTGTACACCAAGCCAACACAGACACACACAGACACAAAATGTCCGTGCAACACAGACACTTTATGTCTGTGTGTGTCTGTGTTGGCTTTGGTGTACACTTGAGGTACCCCATGTTGGTGTACCCCTAGCTTAATTCTAAAAATAAGCATATTGCTACAGTATTTTGTATTCTTGGAAATTGGAATGCTTTAACAAATTGGGCTTTAAATATCATTCTATCCATGATGAAGCTATCTTTTATGCTGCATTTAGAGCACTGGGTATACTCCTCACGCCCACCGGCGTTACGGGGCGTTTAACGCCCCGGGGGCGTGAAACACCGCCCCCCGCCGGCGTTAAAGGGGCGTGAAGAGCCCTGCGTCAAACGAATGACGCGGCGTGAGTCTTCTCCCCTCCCTCCTAACGGCTTTTTTAGCCGTTGCAGCCCATATTTCAAAAGAAATTTTTTTTTCCTATAAATTCAACCCCCCCAACCAATCTCTCACACCTTCTCTTCAATCTCTTCTTCTTTCTTATTTTTAAATTTCAAAATTCAAACCCCCCCTCCCAATTTTCAACATAAATCCTTCCGGCTCCGGCTTCTTTCCCAACGATCTCCCGCCCGTCGACACCACGATGTGGTATTACCAAGAGTTGGGCGATCGACCGCCGATGTACGAGACGCAACAGTCGGGGTACGTCGACCGAGATTTGGTTCCGGAGACTCAACCGGAACTGTCCGGATCGAAAAAAAGTACACGCCGGAAAAGCCACAAAGCCAAAAGCATGTTGACCGAGGCGGCACGGTCAATCCAAAAGTGGACGCCGGAGGAGGAGTGCATATTGGCGTCGGGTTGACGTCTCCGAGCATCCTATCATTGGTTAAAAATTTATTTTTTGTAATATATTTATGTTTTTATTTTTATATATTATATTTAATGGTGTCTAAAAAAATTGTGTAATACATTTTTAAAGGTACGGAGCAAACGAAGGATGCAATGTGGGATCGTATCGAGGAGAAGTTCTTCACGGCGATGAAGAAGGACGGCTCTTACCGAACCCGGGACCAACTCACTTCCAAATGGAGCCACATCAACAAAAAAGTCCGAAAGTTTATGGGAGTTTACGAGGGATGCTCCCGGTCCCGGAGGAGCGGCACGAACGACGCCGATGTTCTCCGGCTTGCCACGACCCGGTATAGAGACGACGGGAACCAAGGCAAGGTGCCCATCGATCTTTGGAGGATTTTGAGTCGTTCCCCGAAGTGGCAACAACTCAACAATCCCGACGGCGGATCGTTCCGGAAAAGATCCACCGTCGACGCCGAGGTTGAGGTCGACGAGACTATCGGTTCTAGCGATCAAATCCCTCCCTTCAACGTTGCGGATTCCGATGACGAGGACCCCATTCCACGGCCGATCGGAAGAAAGAAGGCAAAATCCATTGCCTCGGGTTCGGGAGGGTCCGCCTCTGTTTCCGCTTCTCCCCGCGATGAAATCGGCCGGGCAATGATTGAACAACTACGGGCGTTCAATCTCCAAGAACAAGAGAGGTTGAAGCTAAAGGAGGAGGAGTTGAAGCTAAAGGAGCAGGAGGCTGAGATGAAAGTCATGCAAACCGACCCCGGGACGTTGTCGGAGTTTGGACGAATGATCTATGAGCAAAGAATGAGAGAGATCAAGGAGAAATATAATTTACCTTAGTTTTTTTATTAATATATCGTTTTTTAAATTATTGACGCTTTTTTTTATTTAATGAATGTATTTTTTTATTATTCGTGTTTCAATTTAATTAAATAATAAATTAATTACATTTTATTAATTTAATTTTAGAAGATGTATATTTAAAAATGTAAAAAATGAAGATTTGAAGCCCAGTTTTGAAGCCCCGGGGCTTCAAACCCATTTCCAGTGAATTTTGGCTGTAAGTTAAAGCTGACGTGGCAGAGAGAGAAAGTTTGAAGCCCCGGTTTGAAGCCCCGGGGCTTCATAACCATTACCAGTGCTCTTATATTCAGAATTGGATTTTTTTTATTCTAGATCAACTATATGTGTCCATACATAAACAATCACTACAAAATTGATAGGCATGATTATGTACATGTAATACTAACTTCTCCAACTCTTCATTCACATTCTAATTCTTACATATCACTCTCAAGAGAGAAGAGTTACAGGAACCGGAACTAGCTCTGGAATCGCCGGTTCCGGTACCACTCATCTTCTCCCCGGAATCGGTACCATGTCATCTGGTTCTGGTATGCATCCTGCTGCTTTTGCCGGTCCGGGTGCCGGAATCGCCGGTACCAGTTTCTAATTAGCCCCAGGTCCAGGTCTGAATGTTAAGAAATCACTTTAAATAATAACAAAACATAGAGAAAATATTAAAATAAGAACTTCATCAAAAGAGAAGTTTGCATTGTAGTAACGTGGCATTGTATATGAGCATTTGACAATATATTTTGGAAATGTATTTGGTTATGATTGACACTTTATAAGTATTTTAACTAGGGCTATTCGTCGGACTGACTCGGACCAACCCGGACCGGATCGAAGGCCGAATTGAATAAAATCATGGACTGAAGACCAGACCAAAATACTTAGGATCAAACCGATCTGGACCAATTTGGACTGAATAAAAATTTATATTTTTTAAATTATTTTGATCAATTAAATATATTTTAAGTTTTTTACTTTGTTCCGTGCAAATTAAAAAAATAAAAAATAGGCAACCTAAAAATAGATACATAAAATGAATCACTTCTATGTAGAATCATAAAAATTAATGTGTTACATCTTTTTAATTATTTTTAAAAAATTACTTAATAAAAAATCTTTTCAATTTAATCATTTAAGATATCCATTAAAATAGAGCATTAAAGTGTAATACAGAACTTAAAAAGTAAGGTTTTAGTATTTAAGTCTTTCAGGTCCAGTTAGGTTATTAGGTTTATTCGTTCCAGAGTTAAATCATTATGAGTTTGGACTGGACTGAAACCCAAACACCTATATTTTCTGGATCAAAGACTAATTTGAAACCCATTCCGTCCAATTTCGGTTTGGACTTAACGATCTGGTTCGGTTGATTTTTTTTGGTCCAGACCTAAACGTGAATAGACCTAATTTTAACTCCTATTTTGTGGAATAAAAATATAGAATTCTATTTTGTTATTTTTTTAATATTTTGTTCTTACTTTAGTCTATTTTTTAATAATATTCTCTTAGAGAAAATTATGTAATTGATCAATCCTTTTTTTTAATTTTTTTAATTTGTTTTTATACACAAATGAGAAGATGACATGTGAAAAAATTAATAAAAAATATAAGGAAATGATTGGAGAAAGGTGGAGAAAGTTAAATGAAAAAGTGATCTGATACTGAAAGTAGATGATATGAGAGAGCAATAGAGACGAAAGAGTAGTGATACTCATAGGCTATGTTTTCTTCAACTTATTATTTATTACTACGTATTTTTTTCTTATTCAAATCAGTTCAACTAGATTAAATTAAAATGTATTTTAATATGGATTGCTAAATTCACTCCTCTTTTGGCTATGTCTACCCAATTGGTTATAAATGTACAAATTTGCTCTTAAAAGTGAAACAAAAAAATTACATGAAAACAGAAAACTTAACATTAGATGAGTTTGTCTAATTTTCATAAATGGGTGGATGTAGTCAAAAGTATGGTGGATTTAGCAACACCCCTATAACAAATTTAAGAACTTCACTCAATAGTGAAGTATCTTTAACATTATATTGTATCAAAATATTTGTGATTCTGAACACCCAAAAAAGATGTAGTCCAAAAAACCTTATAGGTTCATTTACAATTCTTCAATAACAGCGGGTTGTGGTATTTTGGTCCTAAAGTTCATATATATTTTCTAGAAGTTCATAGTTGAGCCTTTTTATTTTTATAAAGTCCAATATATAAACTCATTTTATGTATGAAGATCCATAAAGTGAACAAGAATCTAAATACTACTCCCTCCGTCTCAGAGTATTTGTCCACTTTTATTTTTACACACTATCCAATACACTTCTTTAATCAATTTTATCTTGTAATTTGTATATTAAAAAATTATAAAAATTATATATTAATAATCTATATGTTAAGACAAATCAAACAAGATCACACATGACTATATTTAGGCTTACACATTGAGAGAATTTCATGAGTCAAAGTGCTTAGATGAATAGTTCCAAAAGTCAAAATTAGACGAATACTCCGGGACGGAGATAGTATAAAAGAATGTGCTTTGAATAAAACTATTACTCAATATAACTGCAAGCTTCTACATACATGTTTTAAACTAAATTGGAGAGTTATTCATTCAAGTTAATGCATTATGCATAATTAGTCTTTCAACTATAAAGTTATTACTCTCTATATTGTACGGAGTAGTATAATTGCAAGCTTCCACATACATACATATTTTAACAAGAAACTCAACCAAGCAGTCACGCTCAAATTCATAGTTGTAGGTTTTTGAAAAAGTTTTTATACTCTAAGACGCCGCATGCAAGATTTGTTTTTTCCCGAGCTTTGTACGTGAAAATTAATTTCTTTATTTATTTTAAATTGGGCATCGGTTAGGTTCAAACTTGTGACCTTCAGATCAACAAGACTCTGATACCGTGTTAAATAACTTTGTGACTGTAAGTCCGGAAAAGTTTTTTTACTCACAAAAAAACATGTCATAACTTAGGTGGCAACAGCTTGTTTGCAACACTGAACCAGCTGTGGTTTGAACCTCCCCGGGTTATAGACAGAAATGCCCTCGGCGCCGAGGCAGAACACCTGGTTCATCACCTTCTTGTTAAAGGGGTTGCTTTTGCACCCCACGTCCACTTTCGTCTTTTCCCCATTCCCCAACAAGTCATTGATGATTTCCCCCTGCCTTGACTGCACTTCAAACTTCTTCTTGGTAGACGGGCTCGGAGGGGAGGGCATTCTCGTAAATCTCTCTCGCAGCGAGACTCCGGGGTTCTCTCGCCATCTCGAACGACGCGGCGTTCGGGACTCGTGGGGCCCGCTATCTTCGCTCTCCTTCTCGCTCTTCCGCTGCCACTCCATAAGAAACTTCAGTTTCTTTTTGCGTGCGAAGTTCGGGCTCGTTTCGCTCGATCCCGAGCTTGAGAGATCAAGATTACCAAAACGCCCTTTCTCCATGCCGGTACGCAAGAATATTTTGGGATCACGAGTCCTAAAGGAAGTCCCCGGGCTGCCAACGGCACCCTGTCATTGATATATAAGAAGATGAATTACTATAAATGTGAAGAAGCCCAACCGATAGGCTTTTTCAAACCGATGAAGTTGTTGCCAAACGGGTACTAGGTTTTTAAGATGACACATCGCTCCTACAATACCTGCATTTTCACGCGTGAAGCAAAAACGCCCGTCCGATTCCGGTCATCCGAAGTTCCTCCAGCCGAGACGAACCGCTTGATCAGCGCGTCTGAAGAACGGGACCGCGGGCGTCGCTTGAGGAGGTCCAACGGCGTGCATCCATCATCATCAACAACATTCAAGCCGATCGAAAAAACTGACATCAAAAGTTCCACTACGTTTGCCTGGACATTCTCGGAAACCGCAACGTGAAGAGCGGTCTTGCCCTCGTTGTTCCTCGCATTGATAACGGATTCCACGGCCCTCCCGCGGGACAGCCGTTCCATCATCTCCATCCTCCGGTCCAGCCTATGGAAACTCGGCGTTCTGAAGCCAAACACGGCCATGTGAAGAAATGTGTCGCCGTGATTGTTTGTTAGCGGTACCAGTGAAGGGGAAGAGGATATGAGAGCTTCAACAATGGGTAAGTGTCCTCTGTAAGCAGCCACATGGAGTGCGGTGTTGCCTTGATGATCTCGGGAATTAGTGATGTCATATGTTGCTAATAGCATCTTAACAACCTGAACAATGATTAGAATTTACAATAATTATTACTTATTAATCTTGAAAAAGATCATGTCGTTATACGGCTTGGTTTCGTTAACATTGGTATCATTGTCCCCCCGCCCAAACCCTTGCCTCCCCTTCCCCCCCCTGGCGAAGGGGGGGTATGAGATGCACGGGGCGGGCATGGGAAAAAAGTCATATTCTATACGGCTTGGTTTCCTTGACATTGGAACCATTGTCATCTTATGACGTGGGCTCGAAAACATGATGGTTCCTACCCCCTCTCTAAACCCTTCTGCCACCCCCCCTCACCCAACCGCCCTTAGTTTCTCTTGCTAAACCATTGCCTCTCCCCTCCTCCAGGCAAGGGGGGTGGGGTGGTGCAGGGGCGGGTATGGAGACTAGGGGGTAGGAACTATCAGTTTATCGAACACAGCATCGTAGGAAGCTTAATGTGCGTCATTTGAACGTAGTCCGTTCATAAACCGAAGCTTAAACATTGTCAGTTAATTTTACTTTCACACCAAACATGTCCTAAAAGGAACATAATGTAATTGTCTAACTCACCTCAACCTGCCCTGTGCCTGCAGCAGAATGCAAGAGAGTAGATCCAATACTATCCCTATAAACCAAAACATCTGAGCAGTTCAATAGAAGTTCCCTCAGGATCTCCACATTCCCTCCTCTAGCGGCGGCGTGAACCGCCCGATTCACCATCTCCATCTTCAGACCCTCATCCGATCCGTGCCCGTTCTCCTCCTTAAGTAGCGAGATCGAAGAATCAAACAGAAGCCTGAACACCCGGGAGCTCTTACTCCGAGCCGCAGCGTAGAGTATGTCCGTGACCCCGTACTCCCCCTCCCCGAACACCAAATGTGGGTCCCGCGCCAACAATTCCTTGACGAACGCCACGTCACCCGCGGACGCAGCCGTGTAGAGAAGCCAGCCGCCATAGCCGGCTCTGAGGAGAGAGTTGTGGCCCTTCTTGGTTTCGCATTCGAGGAGGAGCTTTCTAGCCACATGGCACCGGCGTTTCGCCACGTCATCGGAGTGCGGGCCCACGTCATCCCAGACCGTCTCTAGGCGGCGGGTCCGCCTCAGGGAGGTGAGTTTGAAGAGAAGGCTCGTGTCGAGGCGAAGAAGCTGCCTCACCAGATCATAGTGCCCATTGGCAGCAGCCCAATCTATGGGAGAGGCAAACCACCATTGGTCCCCGGTACTCTCCCACCTTAATGGCAAGTACGACGGAGTCTGCATCCGAGCCAGTAAACAACAAATCCGACCTATGCCCTCGGTTTCTGGAGAACATGAGAAAAAACAAAAACACACAATCAAGCCATTTGTTCTAAAACAATCATTCTTGGCAAATCACACCCCATCCAGACAAACAAATCACATAAGACCATGGGATCTCATATTCAAAGAATAATTGTATTATTCAAAGAATAAGTACACAAAGAAAGAGAGTTTCTTCAATTTCTTCACTTTGAGATGTGGGATCAACTCAACAAATTGTTAAATAATGCAAAAAATGTTGCAAAGTTGTATCCAGACAGAACATTCTAAAGGGGGGAACAATCCAAATTAAGTACACACAACTAATTAAAAATTCTGAAAAACTTAAAATTTAACAATTTCTCATGAACCCAGCAATGTTTAGACACTTAAAACCCACAACTTTGGTCAAACCCCAGCAAAAATCACATTGGGGATAACCCAAAAAGACTGGTTCTTGAATTATCCAAACACAGGAATAAATAAAGAATCTAAGAAGAATGTGAAGAAGAAGCAAAAATTGGGAACAGATAAAAGCTGGAAAAGTTACCAGGTTGAAGAAAGGTGGAGACTGAAGAGCAGAAGAAGAAGAAGAAGAGAGGAGAAATCTTTCTGTCAACATCCAGTTATCCATCCACGTTCATGTGTTTGTTTTTTCACTGGCAGATGACAAGAAAAGGAAATTGTCCTTTGTGGAATTTCATGATTCATTCTTGGGTCGTCGGTGAAGGAAGAAACGGAACCAATTAATGGGGATGGAGGTGCGCCCACAGTTTGAAGATATCCCACATTTAATTCCCAGGCCGGTGCCGGGATGACCGATGTGACACAGATCCACGATAACTGATATGGCGTAGGATATTGCTCCCTCTAGTGTCTATGACTTCTTTTCTTTTTTTTCTAAGAGCACTAGAAATACCGAAGCTCCGGGGTTTCAAACTGGGGCTTCAAATTTTCATTTTTTACATTTTTAAATATACAACTTTAAAAACTAAATTAATAAAATTTAATTAATTTATTATTTAATTATATTGAAACACAAATAATAAAAAAATACATTCATTAAATTTAAAGAAATTGAAACGACAATAACTTAAATAAATTATATTCATTAAATTAAAAAAAGAAAGCGACAATAATAAAAAAGATACATTAATAAAAAAACTAAGGTAAATTATATTTGGCCTTGATCTCTTTTTGTCTTCTCTCGAAGATCATCCGTTTGAAGCCCGATAACGTAGAAAGGTCGGTTTTCATGATTTTGATCTCGTCCTCCACCTCCTTTCGCCTCATCCTCTCTTCTTCTCAAATATTGAACACATGAAGTTGTTCAACCATTGCCTGATCGATATTCTCGCGAGAAGAAACGGAAACAGAGTCGGACCCTCCAGAACCCGAGGCAATGGATTTTGCCTTCTTTCTTCCGATCCGCCGTGGAATGGGGTCCTCGTCATCAGAATCCGCAACGTTGAAGGGAGGCATTTGTTCGGACGAACCGATAGTGTCGTCGACCTCAACCTCGGCGTCGACGGTGGATCTTTTCTATGACGATCCTCCGTCGGGATTGTTGAGTTGTTGCCACTTCGGGGAACAGCTCAAAATCCTCCAAAGATCGATGGGCACCTTGCCTTGGTGCCCGTCATCTTGATACCGGGTCGTGGCAAGCCGGAGAACATCGGCGTCGTTCGTCCCGCTCCTCTAGGACCAGGCGCATTCCTCGTAAACTCCGATAAACTTTCGGACATTACGGTTGATGTGGCTCCATTTGGAAGTGAGTTGGTCCCGGGTACGGTAGGAGCCGTCCTTGTTCATTGCCGTGAAGAACTTCTCCTCGATACGATCCCACATCGCATCCTTCGTTTGCTCCGAACCTTTAAAAAAGTATAACACGAAAATTTTTTTATGACACGATTATATATAATTTTATACAAATAAAAACATAAATATATTAGAAAACATATAATTTTTACCAACGATAGGATGCTCAAAAACGTCAACCCAAGCCGACGCCAATAAGCACTCTTCCTCTGGCATCCACTTTTGGATTGACTGTGCCACCTCGGTCATCGTGCCTTTCGCTTTGTGGCTCTTCCGGCGTGCACTTTTTTTGGTGCATGATGGTCCCGGTTGAGTCTTTAGAACTGAATCTCGCTCGACGTATCCCGATTGTTGCGTCTCGAACATCGGCGGATGATTCCCGTATTGTTGGAAATACCACATCGCGGACTCGTGAGGCTCGAGATCGTCGGGGAAGAAGCCGGAGCCGGAAGGATTAATGTTCAAAAGAGAGTTGGAGAATTGGGGAATTGAAGAATATGTGAAGAAGATTGAAGGTGTGAGAATGGGAGGGGAAGGAGTTTGAAATTTATAAAAAAATAATTTAATTTTTTTGTTTCAACGGCTATAATAGCTGTTAGGGGGGATTACAGCGTCATTCGTTTGACGCGTGCAGACGCCGGGATGAAGCCGCAGGGGGCGGTGTTTAATGCACCCTGGGCGTGAAAATCACCATAACGCCGGTCCGCGTTAGGAGTATACCCAGTGCTCTAAGGAGTACTTTTTCAAGTTCTTTACAAAGAGAAATAAAACTCTCTCTCTTAATTTTGATTATAAATTAAGATTTACGAGGCAAATTTGTTTTATTTTTAGAATTTTTATTATTAGTAAATTGATATATGAATAAAAATTAAAAATAAAAAAATCACGTAAGAAGTTCTATGAAATAAGATGTAACAAGAATATTTTTTTTCAAATAATCAATGAAAACACATAAATAAGAAAATGTTATTGAGAGGTGAGAGAAAAATTATACACTATGTAATCAAATTCGAGGCGGAGGGAGTAAAAAGAAATACATCGTACTCGGTGAAAATTTATGTAGAGAAAAAAATAACTCCTTGATTCCCATGACATTGATTCTCGATGTCATGGAATGATTTGGAGGTGCTCTAGTGCCTCGTCCGTAAAATTGATAGTTCATACCCTCCTAACTCCTCCGGTAAACCCCACACCCCTTCAATTGCACTATCCAAGTTAGTTTTAACTTTGGAGTCAAATTTTGACTCCAAAATCAAAATAAGCTTGGAGGTGCAATTGAAGGAGCTGGGAATGTGTGTTTGGTTCGGGGTGAGGGGTTTAGCGGAAATAGAAACTATCAATCTTATGAGCGGGGCACCAGAACAATCCCCGGATCATTCCATGACAATGATTCCCAATGTCATAGGAATCGGCCCCAAAAATAATACGGAGTACTACAAGTCTTTTCCTTTTTTTAAATACTCTTTCCGTTTGGAAATGATTTTTTATTTTATGAGAATTTAATATTTCAAAACTATGTTTCATAAGAAAATTATTGAGACTATTTTTATCAACATCAAATTTTATAAACTTTGACCAAAAGAAAAATTAAATGAAGAGATAATTTCTGGAGGTAGAAAGTATAATGAGAATTATGAAAAAGTGAAAAAGGAAAGTAGAAGATTGTTCCGAAAGGGGATGGAGTAAAATGGTAAACCTAATTTTCAATTATGGAAACAAGCTACATTTCCAAAATAAATGCTTATTTCATTACTTATATAATCAAATTATATATTTACATTATAATATTCTCCGGAATATACTTGATAGTTAATACGGAGCATATAAAATGAAACATGCTTTTTAATACTCCCTCCGTCCCCCTGTATTTGTTCACATTTGACTTTTGGAATTGTTCATCTAAGCACTTTGACTCATCAAATTCTCTCAATGTGTAAGCCTAAATATAGTCATGTATGATCTTGTTTGATTTGTCTTAACATATAGATTATTAATATATAATTTTTATAATTTTTTAATATACAAATTACAAGATAAAATGGATCAAAGAAGTGAATTGGATGGTGTGTAAAAATGAAAGTGGACAAATACAGGGGGACGGAGGGAGTACCATTTGTTTTTTCAACACATTTTGATCTGGATGAATTTGATTTGATCTGAAGGTGTGTGCTAAGAGTATCTTAATTTTTGTATCCGCGTATCACACACACAAAGACAATCATTGTCCGTATGTGAATATAATTTGATCTAATATAACTCAATAAATATTACCCGCTCCGTCCTAATTTAAATCATTTGTTTCAATTAACGATGTTTGCCAAAAATTATTTTCAAAATAATGTATTAGAGAACTGGAATATAATTAAAAACTAAGTTTTACACGTTAAAAAACTACATCAAAAGCTCTACGAAATAAGAGGTGGTATGATTATATTGTATTTTCAAATGAGTAACAGAAATAAAAAAGGAAGTGAATAAAATTTGACTATGTTAAAACTTAATATGAAACTTAATTTGGAGTGAAGGAAGTAGTAAGATAAAGTAGAGGAAAACATGATAAGTTTCTTTTAGCTAAATAAGAATATGGTTTGCTCAACTAATGTAGCGTATTTATAAAGGAAAAAACATTGAAAATACAAAAGTAAGTTTCACAAAATAACTAGTGAAATGCAAATTCTTAATTGCAATTAACATTTGCTTAGATAATAGAAATCTTGTGAGATCAAAAGTCAAAAAATAGGTTTCTCAAAGTAACTACTAACTAGCTAGTGAAATGCAAATTCTTAATTGCAATAAGTATTCAATTAGAAATCTTGTGAGATCAAAAGTAGTTTTAATAAAATACATAATAAAAACGGAAGAAATCTCGATAAGTTCATTTTAGCTAAATAAAAATATGTTTTGTTCGATTAACGTAGTGTATTTATAAAGGAAAAACATTATAAATACAGAAATTTTACAAAATAAATAGTGAAATGCAAATTCTTAATTGCAATTAACATTCGCTTAGAATATAGAAATCTTGCGTGATCAAAAGTCCAAAGTTTCACAAGGTAACTAGTGAAATGGAAATTCTTAATTGCAATTAACTTTCCTTTAGAAATCTTGTGAGATCAAAAGTAGTTTTAATCAATGCATATACTAAAATGAGTAGGAAAATAATACTCTCTCCCCTAAAATATTCTTTTTGTTTTGATATACAAGATTTATGAAGTTTCATTGAGATTATTTTTAATTCAATTTATTTGATTATAGTTGTAAAATTTAAAAATGAAAATTATATATTTTAAAACTACGTAAAAATTGTACAAAAAGAGATGACATTACTATATTATTTTGTTAAATGATTAATAAAAATAGGTAAAAAATGATTAAAATTTGACCATTTAAAACTCGATATTTAATACGTAGCCGGAGCATTTCAAATGAAACTCACAAATAATATCATCCTATGACACTATTTATTTAAGTCATTCATTAAAATTATCTATCAACTGAAGCAAAATCGTTCAAACTGATCACCTAAGAAAGATCACAAAAACCCTAGGGTGGTAGATGCTTATTATTACTATCATTACTCCCTCCGTCCTAAAACTTTCTTCCCAGAATACTATTCCAACTTCACGAGAATTTATATTTATTTGTGTTTTTTCATGGCCTATATGATAAAATAAAATATTCTTGTCACTACTTGTTTTGTTGAACTTTTGATGTAGTTTTAAATATGTATGTTTTATTTTTTATTTCTATACCAATATTTAAATAAAATAGATTGAAAAAACTTGAGATTTTTCTTCGTTTTGCGCAACGGGAAGAAAGTTTTAGGACGGAGGGAGTATTACTACTACTATTATTATTATTATTATTATAAGGAGTTGGACCTTTTTAACACTATTTGTTTTTTCAAAACATTTTGATCTGGATGAATTTGATTTGACCGGATAAAGTATGTTATGGGTACTTCAAATTTTGTATCACACCTTTCACATCAGTGTATTACAAACACACAAACAATCATTGTGTATTTGAGTGCGCGTAAATGTTATTTGATCTAATATGATTCAATAAATATCAAGAAAAAGAAGAAGAAAACCTGATAAGTTCCTTTTAGCTAAATAAGAATATGTTTTGCTCAACTAATGTAGCATATTTATAAAGGAAGAAACATTAAAAATACAAAAGTAAGTCTCACAAAGTAACTAGTGCAATGCAAACTCATTAAGTTTCACAAAGTAACTAGTGATGCAAATTCTTATTTGCAGTTAACATTTGCTTAGGATTCTTGCATTGTGAGATCAAAAACATTTTTAATTAATGCATATACTAAAATCATTGCATAAGAAGAAAAAAAGATGACACAACTATATTATTTTATTACATGATTGATAAAAATAAGTAAAAAAAGATTAAAACTAGTGAAGTAATTTTTCTTTTCAAAAGAGTAGTTCTGTAGTGAATGTTCGACAGAATATAATCATTTATAGAACAAGTATTTGTCCCAAGTCCAAAGACATTTTGCTTTTATATTAGAAAGAACTCTACACCACACTGAAGAACTAAACAAAGTCTCTTTCTATTTTCCACAATAAAAACAAATAAACTGCGAACCAAAACATACCATAAAACTACAGAGTAGCTAAAAGAGTAAAGACCCTTGTCTTGTTTATTCATTACATAATATGCCAAGAAAACTGAAAGAGCTCCGGGGCGGCTGAGCAACAACTGCGTCCAAAGCCCCGACCGCCTTACTGAGCCACAGAATGCATGTGGCGAATCAAATCGATCACTCGTGAACTGCAAGAAATCACAAATGTTGATCATCATCATCATCATCATCAATTAGAATGGACAATTTGGGTCTTGTTTGGAAACAACGTTTTCGTTTAGCGATAGCGTTTTGGATAAAATTTCAATTGTGTAGATTAATTACGAAAACGCGAGACTGCCATGGGATAACCTTTTAAAAAACGTTAACGCTAACTTCTAACGTTGAAACGTTGATGCCAAACGTGACCTTGGTGAAGGAAACAAAGTTCAAGTGGTGCTATGTGAGGAGAATAGACAGTGTTTTACCTGTAACCCCATTCGTTGTCATACCAGGCAACAAACTTAAGGAAGTTATTGTTCAACGCTATCCCGGCCTTGGCATCAAAGATGCTGGACCTGTTTCCAATCAGAAATAAAAGCTGTATGAAACAAAACATATCTAAAGACATCTCATGCCCCCAATTGAACATTAGATTGTTCGGGGAAGGACATTTGAATTTACCTGGAATCACCAACAAAGTCGGATGACACTACGTCTTCTTCTGTGTAGCCGAGAATACCCTTGAGGCTACCCTCTGACTCCTCCCTGAGAAACAGTAAATGTATAAGCTTAGGGGAATGGTGGTGGCGGGTGGAGAAGAATTATTTTAGCATGGTTTGTTTTGTTTTTTTTAGTAGAGGGAAGGGCTACATAATGTGCTTTAATTTCCCCTTTAAAAAGCCCTTCTGATTCAGCGGGAATGGGACAAAAACCCCTTTGCTTCCCCTTCCAGTTTTTTAGCAAAATGAGGTGAGGTGAGCATTTTCCACCCACTGCCCTCTTGTATCTCCAAACCAAATACAAGAGTAGTTAAAAACTTAAAATGTGTTATAATATGATATAAAAGGGTTGCAATTTTCTGTTTGTTAAGAGACATGTGATCCCAAATCAGATGTCACAAATGCCACTTCCAAAACAGCACAACCCCACCCGCGTGGCCAGCAATGCTCATTGGGTGTGAAGATTGAAAGGCTTGAAAGCGGCGTGCAGCAAATCACCATGCTTAAAACAGCCTACAGACACTTGATTCAATCTTTCCATTGCTAGTATTTGGGGGAACTAAGAAACAAAATGCACCATAAAATAACTTACTTGATGGCAGCCTTGACATCATCATAGGTGGCCTTTTTCTCAATTCTAACAGTGAGGTCTACAACAGAAACATCCACAGTGGGAACTCTGAAGGACATTCCAGTCAGTTTTCCATTAAGAGCTGGCAGAACCTTTCCAACAGCCTACACAAAACGGTAAAGGCAAATGAATCGAAAAAAATTTACACAACTAGACGTATTGACCACAGAAAAAAAAGAGACAAAAACATCCATGATGCATGATACCTTGGCTGCCCCAGTGCTGCTAGGGATGATGTTGAATGATGCAGCTCTTCCACCTCTCCAGTCTTTCATGGATGGACCGTCAACAGTCTTCTGAGTAGCTGGAAAATGATATAACAGAAAATAAGCAAAGGAAAAAAAAACTATTTTGTCAGAACAATGATCTCTTGACATTGATTGCAAAAGAGAATCAACTCACCAGTGATGGAGTGGACAGTGGTCATGAGACCCTCAACAATGCCAAACCTGTCATGGATGACCTGCAAGCATTCATCACAACAAATCCATGAAATATAAACCAATGAAATCATCAACCACGTCTTATTTCCAATAAGTTATTTATCTTAGTCAGAACAATCAGACTGAGATCCAATGACTCCAATGCAATGCAAGTTGTATGGTTGCATCGGAGCCATCTTATATCAATCGTATGGTTCCAAGTCAGATATAAGGCTTGGTCGCTTGGATCTGTTCGTGATCACATTCATCAGATTAACAACCACATGTCAAAAAACAATTATCTCCCAAAAACATCCTCTTGCAACTAATGATGTAATCAGAGGTTTTTTAGCATAAAAGATCTACTTTATACTCTATATATAAGTGTAACAACGAGACAGAACTAGTTTTAACCTTTGCCAAGGGAGCAAGACAGTTAGTAGTGCAGCTCGCATTGGAAACAATGTTCAGCTCTGGCTTGTATTCCTTCTCATTTACTCCCACAACAAACATGGGAGCATCTTTGCTAGGAGCAGATATCACAACCTTTTTAGCACCACCCTGGTCAACCAAGAAAAACAACTAACCATCAACGCTAATCCCATCCTGCAAATTCATGTGAAACTAACAACATTCAAGATGAACCACATAACCAACCAAAAAAACATTACGAATTGCATATTCACAACAAAAAATAGTAGATTATAACTCTCTTCGAGTTTTGAATTTTCAGAAGATGATCATAAAAGGGCTAGCAGACAGAAATTCTTAGACTATCAATAGAAGATACATAGTATTTTACATTATAGAGATAAATATTTTACTCCTATCCCTTTTCCTTTTTGGCCCCGACTAATTAATCACTCATTCACATAAAAATATTTTTCGTTTCTAAATAAACCTCAACCACACAATTTCATTTTTAAGGTGAACACTGAACAGTGACGTAGAGAGTACTAACCAAACAAAAACATTCTAAAATTAAACATGAAAACTTGAGGAGGGTAATCAAACCTTCAAGTGAGCAGCAGCCTTATCCTTATCAGTGAACACTCCAGTAGATTCAACCACAAACTCAGCACCAGCTTCAGCCCATGGAATCTCTTCCGGGTTCCTGAGAATTCATCCCAAAAAATAATAAACACAAGCACCCAAACCATGAAAATCCTAATATCCACAAGTCTATTGTTGCATATTCACACCTCAATCCGAAGACTTTAACAGCCTTCTCTCCAAATAGAAGGGTCTTTTCGTCATGGACCTTCAATTCATGGTTTTTCCATTTCCCGTGCACAGTATCGTACTTGAACATGTATGTCTACAGACAAAATCGCATACAAACGAGCAGATCTAATCTATTACAGACTCATTCATCCAAAATCAAACTTCTAGATTCTAATACGTGCCCTAGAAATGCATAGAAATTAATCAAAACTACAAAAAAAAAAAAAAATTGAACGCACCATGTAATCAGTGCTGATGAACGGATCGTTGACGGCAACAAGCTCAACGTCATCGCTCTGAAGAGCTACCCTGGCGACCAAACGACCGATCCTTCCAAATCCTGCAGAGAAAATGAAGATGCTGAGTGATTCGTGGATTCCTACACGAATTACAAGTGAGCGAAAACACGAGTTTCTCGTCACTCACCGTTGATTCCGATCTTGATCTTCCCCATGGCAGATGCTTAAGCTTATAGAGAGAGAAAGAGAGAGAGAGAGCGTTGAAAATGGCAGAGAAGGAAATGGAGTTTTGAGGAGGAAGAAGAAGAAAGTATTGAGACGGGAAACTGGAGAGCGGGTTGAGTTATTTATATGCTACCGGTTGCTGGGTTTGGTGTGTCGTGTGACTCGTGTCACGTGACTTGTCGTGTCTTATTTTTCCTCATTTTGTTTTATTTTATTTTTCTGATGTCTTGCTGAGAAAGAAAGGATCTTTAATTAAAAAAAGGATCTTATTACTCCTTACTCCCTCCGTCCCCCTGTATTTGTCCACTTTCATTTTTGCACACCATCCAATGCACTTCTTTAATCCATTTTATCTTGTAATTTGTATATTTGGGAAATTCATAATTTCAATTCTAGAATTCAAATTCTGATGTTGTTTGGTAAGTATTAAAATTTCATTTCAAATCTTTAATGAATAAAAATATTGTAAACATAATCTCAAATAACATAATGACCAATTGTTTCATAAACAAAATACATACTAATGTATGACAATTAGAAAAAGTATTTATTTGTAGTAAATATTTAATATTCCGTAGTTGTTCATAACTCGATCACTCTTTCAAGCACAACAAAATCCAATCTAGTTTCTCGTCTTCAGGCAAGTCCTTGAGCATTTGAAACTCATCTGGCATATTCATAAACTTCTTAACAGCTTTCAACACTTGATGACGAAGTATGCCATCCACTTTTGAGACAACTTCATGGATTTCTTTCCCGCTCGCCTTTGAAGTCATATTGATCTTGCTTTAAACATATTCGTTGAATGAGTTCGCAAAACTCGTAACTGCCTCGGCTAGACGATCTTTCTTCACCTTCTTCGACACAGAGCCTGTTGACGTGCTCATTCCTTCACTCCTCATCTCCTCATCGATCGCCATCGCTGCTTCATCAAATTGTTCCGCACCATCCCCTAATGCTCTATCCGATCCAAAGAGAATACAAATATCATCCCAATTATCTATAGTCTTATTTCTATAGGAGCTTGCTGGTGGATGACTCTGCATGCAAAAAAAGTTTTAGGAAACCCTTTTTTGGACAACAAAGACAAGGGGTTGTGATAGTAAATGATATAAAAACCTCACATTTATTATTGGAATCTGCATACTATACAACCCAACTACTAGAATGAGATGATGATGATGATGATGAGACTACTATACAACCCAACGACTGGAATCTGCATTCTAATGTGCACTGTAAGTTACAGCAGATGAGTAAGTTGTGGGTGATGTAGTGCATTAAAATGTAACCTACAGTAGATGAGTTTGGCGGGTCAGTAAACATGAATATTGCTCAACCAAATGTAAAATCTGTTGGAGTACTTCCTCTCCACAAATTCAAATGGTACCGAGTGCCTCTATAAGGAGCTAAAAAGCCTAGTCCGTTAGTATAACCCAAGTCCACGAGAAAATATCTATCTGTGATAGAAACAATAACAATATAAGTATTAAAATGTATCACAAATAAATGTAAACAATAGTAAAAATAAATAGAAAAAAATAAGTCAAAGTTAAATTCTCTTACTTCTTGGAACTCTTAGACCAATAGGCCTTCGAAGGGCATCCCCGAGGATGCGAGGATCGGAAGTAGATCCCTCCCAACCAGGCAAAACATAATTGAAGTGGAGACTGGGATCACAAGTGGCTAAGACATTAGTGCTAATATCACCTTTCCTGTCTCGATATCTAGGTCAGTCTTTAATTGGAACAGTCATTTGTATATGTGTCCCATCAAGTGCTCCAAGTGCTCCCTCAAACCATTTCCATCTATTATCTCTAGCATAGCTTATAGTTGAGTCAACTTGCTTAATGTAGTACTTGCCTATCTTCATTACAGCGTGTAGCACCATATGAAATTGACGACTCACTGTTTCATCGGAGCGAGTGAACACAGCTCCAATAGTTCTATTTTTGAGGTCATGTGCAAGTGTATGAAGAAAGAATGCCACCACTTATCTCACTGTGACATGTCTAGTAGTCACAAGACCTCCTTTGAATTGTAAGATGTGACACAATTTGTCAAAACACCTCTTATCCATACGCAATTGATCTCTATATATTCTATCATTCATTAATGAATCCATCCAATATGCTCTTTTTCTAGCACGTTCTTGTTCGTTCCAAGATACTTCCTTCACCCTATACTTTTTATACCATGCTCCCACTAATACAATGATAAAGCCAGTAACTATAATATTGAGTTCCATTTCATCATCATCATCATCATCATCTCTAATACGCTTTCTTGTTTCACAAACATGTTGATCATGAGACATTCTCTAGTTTAAGAAAAAATCATGGGAATGTCAAGGTACAATAAATAATTAAATAAATAATTATATAAAACAACATAATGGTTTTCTTTATATGTCTTTGATTTGGTTTCTTTGATACACCATCCAAGCAAGTTGGCAAATGGAGCAGATTTCTAGGGAAATATGTGCTTGAAGCATGATATGTAACACCCCAACCTGCGTGACCCGAATACAAGGACCAGCGGATCGGGTTACTACTAGATTGGTATTTAGACACATTAATTTTCAAAACAATTTAAAACATTTAATTCAAAATAATATTTAAAACATTCATCGGAGTTAATAAAACGGTGCGGAAGCCTTTAAGTACTTGATCAGAATACAACTTTGGGTTCTTGCCCTTAAGAATATAATAATTCAAACTTAAATATTAAATTAGATAACTCCTCCAGGTAGCATCCATCTATCTCTTCGCCCTCGCTGCCTCCAAGACTGTCTCATTATTCATCGTTCCTGTTACCTACGTGTAGCAAATAAGAAAAAGGGCTACACGCTCAGCATTGAAGCTGAGTGGAATCTATCTAACGCTCGACTACGCAAATAGACGAACCCACTAGCTCATAATTCCATACAATATCATGCACATAAGTACAACATCAACAATATCATATAATTCATGTAATTCATCAATTAAGCATAATTATCATAATTAACAACTTATCTCATAATCCACTTTTTTATTTCTAGGCTCATAACCTATCCTAGGTTAAGGCCAACTACTTTATTCTAGAGTCCTGATCCAACCACATCCATGGAAGAACCCGCTCGATACGACGTCATCCAACGTCGGCTGGGTGGGACCACCTACTCACATCCATGAGCAGATCTACGACCCCCGTGCGCACGCTCTACCCAACTGATCATGCGTGCACGCCGGCTCATCACATGAACAGTTATTCTTAATTGTATTCTTATTCTGTTTCCTCGATCTACCTATAGTTCGGTTAGGTAGCCTATCCGTATTCAAATTCATAATTCCATATTTCCAAATTCATACAAGAATACAATATGTTAAATAACATTCATAGTCACCAAATAGCGGCCTAGTGTCAGCTGTAAACACCTTCCACTTACCGTCATGTAACTCACACAATTTAGAGTAAGAAACGTACCTGGTCGCCCTTGTTCAATCAATTCCAATATCATCATATATTATAAATAAATCATAACTCAATTATAACTAAATAAACCATGTAATCAATCATACAAACCCACGAACGTGAATTTCAAATCTACATACATAATCTAGCGTTAGATGTGCAAGTTCTGACCTCAATTTATTGACGAATTAGACAAATCAAATTCTCAAGAAGATATCGGCCAACTCGGCAGCAAAGCAGCGGCTACCCAGCGGCCTCCGGCTCGTGGCAGCAGTCAGTTCCTACGGCGAACGGCGGTGGCGGCAGACAGTGGTGTTCTAGCGGCAGTTCTATTTCCGGCGACTGAAGCAGCGGCGCTGGAGCGGCGGCGGTAGCGGGTCAGCGATCCCTTCTCTACCGTAGCAGGTTCCCTTTCTTTGCTGCTATCTCTTTTACGTTTTTCTTTCCTTTTCTTTTTTTTTTTGCTGCTGTGCGTGCGTAATATATAAAGGGGTGGGAAGGGGATTTTCGAATCACGGTAGGAATAGGTTAGTTTAGGATATTTTCATTTTATTATTTTATTATAAAATCCTTCTATTTATTTATTGAGCTGTAATGTCTATTTTACTCACCACACTTTACACGTATGTCCAAATTTAACAAACTATATACTGTTGGTCATCATTTTACGAGATCTACCCGAAAACCTAATTTTTATTCAAAACGGACAACTTTACAAATAATTCATATTTTAGAGTAAATAAATATAATCTTTATTTTTTTGTTAAAATAATGGCTAACTACTAAGCCGGATTTCGGGTCGTTACATGATACATCATTAAAACCCAACTATGGTTATTACAAATCGAGTCGTATCTGAACCCAAAAAAATTAACTTAAAATAAAATAAAATTGTTTTTTTACATTTTTGTGAAGAAATAATAATGCCAACACTGCCTTTCCAAACCAAAATTATACTTCGTAACACACTAGGAAATACATATGTCAAAAAAAGAGGACATGAGAGGAGAGCTTAAGACCAGGCTTCAGCATGGTATTTCCCTCCCTAACAGAGGTCTCCCTAGATCTCTGCCCTAAACCTACAGGAAATTTTTTAAATGCTCAATACTCACAGGTGGACGAAGTAGATAGAACTCAGACCTAGCCGCTCGGATAATCAGCCTGGACGTGGACGCAATCTCGACCGAAAGAGATGAAGGACTAAAATTGGAGAGAGCCGATGGAAGAGAGGGATCGGAAGAGGCGAATGATGAGGGAGGAGTGAATGTGGAGACTTAATTTTAATTGGGCTAGGAATTCAAATGACATGGGTTTGGGTGTGAATTTGTAATTGGGTTGGTTATTAATGAGAGGAATTTGGATCAAATCCAAATTCAAATTTTGTAGCTTGCCAAACAAGGTATATGTCTTAAATCTGGATTTCAAATCCAAATCCAAGTTCCCAAACAGGCCATTAGAGAATTTGATGAGTCAAAGTGCTTAGATGAACAGTTCCAAAAGTCAAATGTGGACAAATACAGGGGGACGGAGGGAGTATTTCTTATCATCCGTCCCTAAAAGATTGATACAGTTTGACTTTTTTAGTCAAATTGTGGCACCCTTTAACCATAAATTATAAAAAAACATATTAACTTATAATGTAAATTTAGTAAAATTAGATTTGTTCTAAAATATACTTTTGAAATATCAAATTTTTATAATATTTAATTATTTTAAGCTATATTTAATTCATCGTCAAATCGTGCCACAAACCCCACAGTTTGACCAAAAAAGTTAAAACGTGGCAATCTTTTAAGGATGGAGTGAGTACTTTTTTCCTTTTAGTGAATTCGTTTAAGCTTTATGGATGAGTTTTATCGGTTAGTCTCAGAAAATTGCAAAGAAAATAAACATTAAAATTCATCCATGAAGGTTACTGGTTTCAAATTTGAATTTCACTAGTTAGACAAACAATTGAGAGAAGAGTGATGATTTCGGTTTTGGGTTCAAAACTTCAAACTTAGCCCCGGGTTTGGGAAAGGAGCGCGAGGGGAGGGAGAAAGATTAATTGATGAGAAAAAGGAGTGTGAATTTACAATTTTATCTACGTTCTTAACGGAAATGTTAACAAAGGACCATACATGAAAATGAATATAATAATTGGGGACTAAATTAGTAATATTTGATATGTAGGGATTAAATATGGGGAGAAAGACCAAACTAGGACTAAAACATTGAAAATATACGAAAATAGGACTTCCATGTTTTTATTTCCAAACTAGGACTTACATTACCAAACATGGTCATATACATTACCAAACATACACATGTACACTGCCATATTACCACAATGCAAAGTCACATTCCGGGAAAAAAATATGAAAATTCTATTTTGGTACCTTTCTCTATGTTTTGGTCCTATTTAGGATGATTTCTATTAAATACGTAAAACGACCTATAACTTGGAACCTTTTATGCAATTTACTCAAGGAAATAATATACGTAATAATTTTTTATTTAATTGAGACACTTTCTTCTACAGTACATGTACCTATTTTAGAGAAACCAGTACAGTGTAGCGGCAGTTATAGTTTCAAAACAATTTTGGTTTCGATTCCGGCTCTGAACCGGTTCTAAATGATATTTTTTGTAAAACTTTTGGTAAGAAAGTTATATACTTGAATCCAAACTCTTTTCTTGATTGTAAATATTGTGAATCAACCCCCAAACAAATTAAAATTAAGCATAATAAACATTAAAACATAAAAAATTTAAATCAGTTTCGATTCCATAAGGGTTCCGATTCTGATACCACAAATTAAGAACGGAAATCGGAACATTTCCCACGGTTCCGGGTAGGTGCCGCAGTACCTTAGCGGATTTGATTCTAGAACCGTGTCTAGCCCTATTTCGAGTATGCTTATCCGGGGAATGACCAATTCTTCTATAAATCTAAGATCCTTCTCATTTTATAGACTATAAGTCTATAATACATTTGTGGCATTAAAGAAATGAACTTTTTGTAAAAAAAAATCACGTAAAAATCTATGAAAAATATTTGGAAGAGTACACTTTCATCATGGGACTATGGGAGACCGGAGTCCCAGGATGTACTTTTAAAATATTGGGCAAAAAAGTACTTTTAAAATTTAAAAAAAAGATTTAATTCGGACAAAAAGTAATTTTTAAAATTAAAATAAAAGATTTTTTGAACCTGACGTGAATCGAACACGCAACCTTCTGATCTGGAGTCAGACGCGCTACCATTGCGCCACAGATCCTTGATATCTTTCGAACGTACGTTAAATATATATTCCGTAAACCCTTCGGTTCTTCCTATAACCTGCTATCTTGTTTTGATTCTGTTTTTTGTGGGATGTACATTTTTCTTATTTATTGACATAATTATTGAATAAACATTTCTATTTTTTTTCTTAATTTGTATGCATTTCCCATGTCATGAAACAACGAAATGGAGGTATAGTCAGTGGTGGAGCCAAAAGTGACTTCATGGGGGGGGGGCACAACTCATTCAAAAAATAACAAAAAATTCTCATGATAGTAACAACCTTTGATAGTTAAAACATAAATTAACACACTTTTTATTTGGGCAATGGAGAAACAAATTTTGAGGTAAAAAAATATTTTCGAAATGCCAACTTTTGAAAGCATTGCATAATGACTTTACCATTGATGCTCATAAAAATTTTCGTTCCAAAATTGCACAACAAACAATTTGATAACAACTCATCTCTCAAACGGTTTCATAAATCAGTCTTGTTAAATATCTTTTTCTTAAGGGAACTACACTTTCTTTCTCTAAAGATTTAGATGCTTTTTCTTGCCTTTATCATTTACCGATGGCAAAGATTGTTTTATTGGATAACAACAAATATGCCCATTTTTAAAGTTCCTAATTACATAATAAAATAACAATGTCAATAAATCATTATTTTTAATGATCATCTATCCAAATATGACATAACAAAAAATTGAAATTACTCTATATTTAACAAAAAAATATTCAATAATTAAAACTATAATATAATCTAAAATTAATTTTAAAAAACCAATCAATACTATAATCTAAAACAAATTAACGAAAAAAAGTAAAAAACCCCATCAATGAGTAAATATGAAAAAGTCGAAATTCAGCAATATGACAAGTTGGCCGCAAGCTCTATAGTCATCCATACTCAAAGTCAAAGCCCAAAATCAAAATAGGAGTTGCAGGCTACCAAAGTAACAGCGCCACAGCGGGAAGTTGGGGAGGCACGAACACAGAGAACTCCGTTGGCACTATATTGGTGGTACATTGCCGGAAAATCGCCGGGGGGGGGCACGTGCCCCACCGTGCCCCCTCTCTCATCCGCCCCTGGGTATAGTTATAGATGCAGAAAATAATACCCCATATATTCTCTTCCTCCATAGGCATTTTATATTTGGCTTTTCATAATTAATGTCTTTAAACTTTAGCCATAATATATGATAAAACTACATTGTCTTATGAATTGTGATATGAAATTTATATTGCTTCCCTTGTGTTGTTGGCTTAAGGCTTGTATTGCCTTGTAACTTGTCTTGGCACTTGGCATGGATCCTTTTGGTTTGGCAATAATTTTCTTCCATTGCCTATTGGTTGTTAGTTTGACTTTATTGTGGCATTGGTCATGCCTTAGACTAGTTTGTTTGTATTGTGGCATTGGTCATGCTCCATACTAGTATCTTTTGTAGTTAGACCTTATTGTGGCTCTGGTCAAGCCTTATTCTAGGTTCTTCTCCTTCCCCCTCCCTTATTGTGTTCCCCGGAAGGTTTGTCTTCTGTATAAGAGGCTGGCATTAGGCCTTGATTTAGTCCTCAAAAAAATTTGGTAAGGGTTGCCAAAAAACCCTAAAGTATAAACCCTAATGTAATACGGAGTATAAAGATTAAAGATCTAGAAATTATTGATTTTGTATTCATACCAATTGCAATATAGTACGAATGTACGATATGATATGATATGATATGATATATATCGTTGTATCATATACAAATTGTTGGTTTTGTATACAAATTATACTCAGAGTATATTTCATATCGATATATGCGAATCCAAGATGCTAAATCCACCCCTTAATTGACTAAATCCACTACATTTTATAAGAAATAGACATCATTGCCATTCACTTCTTTCTTTCTTTATTTCAAGCATTAAGGGTAAACTTGTCCATTTAATACAAAAAAGAGTAGAAATGGCCAAATATGGGTGGGTATAGCAATAACATAATGATATTTGTATTAGTTAAATGTTACAGAGTATCATGTATGGTACCTCACTCACTTTCTTAGATTGATTTGGATTGTTCCGTCTTTTCAAGTCATTAGATCATACAAGTTTAGTGTCTGGTTTTAGTTGTAGTAGTAAATTCTAAGAGCATATCAACTGGGCCGGCCCATGGGTGGATGGTCTGCCCGACCGGGCCGCGGCCAAGATTTATGGGGCCGAAATTTTTTTATATTATTGTTATATAGGCAATTTCTTTATATTCTATAGCCCAAATCTTGTTCCTCCTATTTTAAAAAATAAAATATTGTAGATGGAGATTGAACCCGAACCCTTTGGATACTAGCACGTAAATCATCCACATGAACTACTAACCTTGTGTTCCCAAATTCACGCATAAGGTTATATAATTTTGTATTTATTTCAATAAAACTCCAAATTTTTCAGAAAAAGAAAACACAATGATATAGTATACTTGTTTTATAAACTTTTAAAAACAGTTTTAAAAAGTAATTAATAAATGCTATTCTTTTATTTAAAATAAGTATGAATACTTACACCAAAAGAAATTTTTGTCATCAAAACAATAAAAGTATTTTTAGTTATAATTTTATTGGTCGGGGTTAAGGGCCCTTTTTTCTGGTCTCGGCCATAGAATTTCCGAGACTGGCTGTGCATACCAATTTGGCATTTCTAGTTGACTTTTTGATGACTTTAAATTCTCCTAGCATCTCGATATATTCTTCATTCAATATTTCAATTTAACACATGTTTACACTTTGCAGTCATTTTTTACTTTTGTTAAAGCCAGGTTTGAACTTTTAATCAATGGATCGGTGTGGTTTTCTTAATTCCTTTGTTTTTCTTCTTTTAGTAGTAGTTTTTCATTCATCATTTAGTCAGAGATTAGAATGGAAACTTCATAGCAACTATAGATTGGCAACTTTTTTTAAAAAATAAATCATATAAAATGTTAAAAGGAATGCCACAAAACTCTTCACAAACTTGTCATTTGTGAATTTTTATTTTTATTTTTTTAATTGTTTGAGATCATTTTATTCTTTTGGCGAGATTCAAATATGACATGTTTGTGAATTATGTGCCCTTTTTGTTTGTGGCTCTGACACTTCTGTTACATAATAAGTTTCATATAACTCCATCGCTCAGATCATTTAAGATCCGTTCTCTAGTTCTTATTACTTTCAATTCATGAATCTAAGAAGGTCATCGTATTAGGTAGATTAAAGTCCATAATTTATTTAGTACTTTCATTGTGGGTCGAACTTAGGCATTCAAGTGTGCTCATTAAGAATGATGGTTGAAATGCAATAAAGAAACGCTACAAGTAGTGAAATTGTTAAAGTGAGAAATATTAGAGTGCACATTAGGTCCATGATAGTAATGGTATGAAATATCTCACTCCCTTCGTCTCAAAAAAATTAACACAGTCTAATTTTTTAAGTCAAACAATGCAATACTTTAACTATAAATTAAATATAGTTTTAAATAATTAAATATTATAAAAATTTGATGTATCAAAATTATATCTTAAAAACTCCAATTTTACTAAAATTTATATTATATCTAAATATATTTTTATTCACAATTTATGGTCAAATTATTACACAATTTGAGCAAAAAAAATAAACTATAATTATCTTTTTTTGGGACGAAGGGAATAATAACAGATGGAGATAGTTTTCTTTAAAAAATGGAGATGTAAAAACCATTAATCAATTTGACTTTTTTATAATAATGGTACAATTTTTTTTTTTAAAAAAAAAAACTCCCTTCTGAGAACTCATCTTGCCCCACATTGAAATGAGACGGTTCGGTTGAGAATAAAATTTATAAAAACAATTCGAAACTTCATTTTTCAATTCAGTTCCTGGTCAATAATTTTTTTCTCAAACCTAAATATTTGAGTAATTACACCCTCTGTCCTAAGTTAAATTACATATTAACTATTCATGTTGTCAAATTACCCACTTTCTCTTTTTTTCGGTAGTCATTTAATAAAATATAATAATAATGTTACCACTAGTTTTGCACTCCGTAAATCTTTTGATATGGTATTTTAATATGTAATTTTTATTTTTTGATTCTATTCCGTTTTTCATATAAAATAATTTAAAAATAATTTTAGTCAAACATCGTAAATTGAAACAAGCAATATAAATTGAGTTCAATAATTTTAATTCTGCTGTTTGGTAGTACAAAAATGTGTAAATTTAGAATTGGTAGTGTCAAAAATGAATTAGAATTGGAGAATTCAATTCCATCCAAATCAATTTCATGTAATTTTAACTTTCGATTCAATTCCAATTCCGTCAATTTCATGTACCAAACGGATCCTAAGATTTTATTTTAGTTCATTTCTTATGTCTTACTCCCATTTTAATCTTTCTCCAGTAAAACTACCACAATACCCATTCAATCATATGTATCAGCAAATAAAGAACAAGGGGAAAATATGAATTTCCAAATGCCCAAAAAACCAAATTTGTCTCTTCAAAGTGACAATTATTCTGAACATGAGGGGCAAATTTAATCACGATTACGCATTGACAGAGTTTCTGCATGGCCATAAGCATTGATAAGATTACACAGGAGAGTAGTAACAGAGAAAATTACCATGGTCCATGGATTAACTTTTAGCAGTTCTGTAACTGAGAAACGCTTGTACCGACGGTTCTCTCCCAAGGAAATCCGATAACAGGTCACGAGGATCAACGGCTCCTCCAGGAGCCAATACCTGTAGGGGCATAATGGGAATTCAATCAGTCATCAGAACGACGATTAACACGAAAGTAAGCCTTCTTGACAACCCCCTTCAAGGTAAAAATTCGGAGTATGGGACGGGACGGAAGAAGCTTCCATATTTGGCAGGGTGAAAAAAATGTGGTGTTTTTTAATGCTACTACCTCTGCCCCATTTTAAATTGTCTGTTTGCCTTTTTTCTTCGTCCCAAAATAAGTTGCCTGTTACTTGTTATCGTAAACTTTTAAGAGTAAAATACCTAAACTACCCCTAAAATAAGTCACTCTTCTCTACCTTATCTTCTCATTCATCGTCACCCCTCCTAAAAAGTAATGGCTATTTCGAAAAATCAACTCTATTTTTTCTCTTCTTTAAATATGCCCAAAAGTCAAACCAGACGATTTAAAACGGGACGGAGGGAGTATAAAACAATATGTTTCCATTTTACTGTCAAAGACTTTGTTTTTTGTAAAGTACTCCGTAGTAATATTTACCTTATCCCGGAATTGCAAGCCTGCTTGATGGTTAAAAATATCCGTGTGAAATTTCTGGGCAAATATGTCAGCTGCAAAAACCTATTAACAATGTTGAAGTTTTATGAGAGAATTTTTACTCCAATTAAAGCTTTACTCCCTCCATTCGAAAAAAAATTCTTCTCATTTGACTTTTCCTGGTTAATGTTTATAAATAAAATGTGACCACAATGTAAAATAAAATGTATTATGATATAAACATAATATCAATAGATTTCTTTCGAAACGTAGTTTTGGAATACAATTTTTTATTATATTTATCTATATATAAACATAGATATTAATGGTCAAAGTATTGCTTTAGAGACTATGAAAAGTTAAATGGGAAAATTTTCCAGATGGAGGGAGTATTAAACTAGCCAAAACACTCTTCTAAAACGACTACGTTTTCAAACAAAAAATGCATTTTGAGAAAACCTTCAAACCCTAAAAAGAAGAAAAAAACAGATTATTTGCCCGAAAAAACACTCTGAATATAATATGATAATGGTTTTTGGTTGAACAACTCAAATGAAGAAAAGTGACACTTTTAAGGATTGCGTAAAGGAAGAATGTGTGAAATGAGCAATCCAACCTCGCTCCATATCCGGCTGTAACAAGTAGCTTCACAGCCAACAGCTATTTGTGGGAACGATGAAGCCGGATTAGTTCCTTCCAGCATTGGTAAACCCAACATAACCTGGAGAGACAAAATTCTGCTAAGAGATATACATATAGTGTAAGGATCCCGTTAAGAATTAGACATCTTGGAGGCGAATACCTTGGCATAGAGATGTTTGAATAAGCCAGTTATATCGATATTTTCATTCGAATGAATCATCTGATCAAAAAGACCTGACAGCATACACGAATATATTTGGTAAGCAAGAACAGGGACACAGCCACTGTCCGCAATACATCTGTCTCAAAACTGGAAATCCAACTACAGAGGATAATGGAGCTACGAGTTGTATCCTTAGACTTACAATAAAATATCTCCTGCTTCATTTTCAATGCAGAGAAAGAATATCTCCACTCCTTGAGTGCCTTACAATATTCATCCTTGATTGGCTGTGTGATATCCTAATAACCAACAGGGCCACCAGATCAGACCAAATTATAGAATCAAGGACGCATGTGGAGATGCTAAGGTCCTTAAGTTCTCCACGTGGCTTCTGGTTTCATTATTTGACAGGCTATCGCCTCATAAATAAATACTGTGTAGCACGTACTTTATTTGTTTTTAAAAAACTAAAATGACTGAATAGGTTGACATTGCTAGCATTATGGCTCAAATCAACAATAATGTGAAAATAGTGGAACGGAGGGTCCCTGCCTGATATATGACAAATTGACAACGACACAGATTTAAAAATTCAGAGCTTCTCACGAAAATTGTTTTTCAAATGATTTGATAGGTGAATAGGGTGAGGGGAAATAAAAAAATGAAAGTAATATGGAAATCACGGGCTTCTTTTCCAGGGATATGGAAAAATTAAAATTGAAATTGCAAGTTCAGATAGAAGCATCACCTGATGAAAACCAGATATCAGCTTCAAGCAGGGGCTCTCGTAACACCTAGCACAGAGAATTATGGTTCGATAATGATTGAATGGACAAATAATGTCATACTCAATATCCACAAACAAAGTGGGCAACAAACAAACCAATTCTCAAAAAGTAAGGCAGGGATTTCGACAAAATCTGGATCCAGGCGCAGCCCAGAGAATTTGGGGACTGATGCACGATTACAAATGTGATGTATCTGAAAGTACCAGAAAAAAATAACACAGAAATAAGATGCTCAGATATGATGACAGAAAAATGCTAATGCTTTAAAGAGAATGAGTGAGCAAACTCAAACGTTTCAAGAAAGAAAGGATGTACTTAGGTCAATCAAAAGCATAAAACTATGGCCCATACTCAACAGACTATATAATGGCAGAACATAACAACTGTTCAAACAAGGATTGTAGCAGCTAATTTTTAAGGCAAACATCTGTGAGAAAATGAAACTAATCAAACAATTATGCATTAATATGCATTATAGATGAGAGAGCATGGGAGGAAGATCACTATTCTGCATAAGATGTATAGTGTATTCAAATTTAAAAATACGTACCACATGACCAAATTTATGGAAAAGACTGACAACTTCAGAGAATCTTAGTAATCCTGGTCTGCCCCCCATCTCCTTGTCAATTTGAGAAGTGAGTAATGCCACGGGAATCTGGATTCGCAGATAAAAATATCAAAGAAATTTAGCAAACAATAACTCATATGTTTAATAGCCGTTTAACAACCATGTGCTGTGATATTATCACCTGTCTCATGCCATTGATCAGTGAGCCATTTTGAAGAGCTACAACACATGTATGTGCAAATTTTCCTTCCCTGCTTACCATGTAGCATAACATCAGTTTCTAATAGGTGATTCTTTTACTATGATGGATAAAGTTGAAAACCTAAAACATGTTTTAAATATGGACCTGCAGTACATATCCAAGAAAAAAAATCCCAGCAGCTCTTTAGAACTCAAGTCAGAAACAGAAAAAAGCTTTACATCAGGATGCCAGAGCTCAGCACCTGAAACTTCTTCAAACCCCAGTCCTATATTGTGCAATACAAACAGCAAACATTTGCATAAGTTCAGAAGTTTAAACATGAGACAAAAAAGCAATTGTACCATGAAAACCTTCAATGCTGTTTACGGGATACTTACCAAAAAGATCTTGGCATATTTTAAATATCCCCGATAAAACCAATTCAGCGGGGAAATACTGTCGGATGACTCCAAAATTGAGATCACATTGTTGGTCTTTGATCTTTTTAAGGTAGTATGGAAGATCCTCAATACCAAAGGGCAAATCTCCCTCTTCACTCTTCTGTATTATAAATTGACAGAAAAGACATTTGATCCAAAGTGGAAGGCTTTAAGCAATTTGATATCTCAAAATCTTTTAATATCTTTAAACCTGGAATCAATTTCCCAAAGATAGAATGAACTAGAGGAATGGAATTATAATCCACAACATACCTTAAGTTCTTTTAACAGAGAAAGTTCTCTCGATGCCAAATCAGTCAAACTGGCAGATATATTCTCCAAGAGCTCAAAAACCTAACATGATTAGTATGCACAACGTGAGGGCTTACTCCTTCAAGAAAGAAAAATGAAACGGGTATATGGTCATTATTAACTTGATCACTGGGTGAAACTTTTAATTTACTTTTATGGTAAGGAAATAATCTATGAACATTCAACAAGGATATAAGGTGGCGACAAGATTCATAGCTATACGCACACCTTAGGTGAGGAGCTGGCCATTCTTACATCTGTGGCATAATCAGCAAAGTTAGCATAACCAAGCAATCTTGCAAATTTATGCCGCAGTTGAGTCTGAAACACCAAAAATAAAAATAAAAAAGTTAGCAACATGAAACATTAAAAAATATTGCAGCCAACCAACTAAACAATGCATCACCAGAGGAAATTTTAAATACCAGTTTTTCTAATACAAAGAGGTTGACTTTGCATCTCCTTCCATAAGCTGAAGCTACCGTTTTCCTGGTTGATCCTACCTTCATAGTAGAAATAACTTCTGAAGAATTTTAAAAAAATACTATATAGGAAAAAGTATATTAGCTACAATTTCATAAAGATAATTACAACACCGGCCTCGTATTCATAACCTAAAGTTAGAGTTGGTTATCTTATTTTTTTAAGAATGGATATTTTTGCCTAAAGATACAGTGCAATTGTAAGTACTCAAAACAGTGTTATATAGTTTGCGATTTGATTTTAGCAAAGCAATTAATTTACCCTTTCTATATTGTTATTTTCCAGAAAAAGTACAAGCATTAATTTCTTCTTTAGCTAAGATATGAAAAAGCGTATGATTAGTAATATTGTTTAGTTCTGCTTTGACATCAATATCACATCAATGAGACATACATACACTTTTAATCAACGAATGTAAAAACTTAGTTGATCATATGAAAAAAGCAATGAAGATACTACCCATGGAAAAACTCACCTTGCAGAGCTCTAGAACTGGTGTGACGTGGTGGTTTCTCAGAATTATTTTTACTTTTCCATTCTCTGTTTTTTCCAAGTCCTGCATCAGAAAGAAGCCAATAAAAATTAAGCATCTAGCACTTGACATTCAATATGAATTACGATGATAGAAAAAAGTACATAACCTTAAGGAACTCTGGCGGTAATCCTGTTAGCTCAGACTGACTAAGAGTGAGAAAAGTTGTGTCATCATTCAGATTTCGTATATATTGCATACTCAGATCATCTATTTGAGTCCTTAGGCGCTGCAACTCTTCTCTCTTGGTTAAGGTAAGATTTAACCCATTCCGTTCAAATTCTATAACCTTCACTGAAATTAAAGCAATAAATTACCTAAACTAGGGGGGAGAGAAACACATCCGACCAACTTGTAAGGAAAACTTAATTAACCAGAGAGATTGGATGGTCTATTAGGGGAGTGACACGTAAGAAAGTGATGAAGAGTTTGAGAATGATATTTGAAGCCCATCTTGTTAAAGCATTCCAAGAATACAGAATACTGTAGCAATATGCTTATTTATATCTTCATACCAGAAATTGAGTAAATCTTTTGGCTTCAATGCTCATTCTGTCTACTTTTGATGCCAGAGATTTCACAACTCGATAAACATCTTCATGTTTACTGTAGGGTCCACAAATATGCTAGAAATCAGAAGCCATTGTAAAGCAAAGACATATATATATCCATGAGGACAATTCCTTCATACTTCGTATATGAATGGACTGATCTAAATTCAGTAACTTAGAAATTATATACTTAAGCAATTCGACTTGACCTTTGCTTTTTATATACGGAAATGAGCAAAATGTAACAAAAAGGAGTGAAGAAAGCAAAACAGGTTATCAATGGTACAACCTGCAAAGTGAAACATGAGCATCTATCTTTTTCTCTGCTTCAGCGCTAGCTTTTTTAACTTCTTCAGAAGTGGACATCCACTTTGAAAAGACACATGACTGAATCAGAGGAAATTGCTCTGCTTCCAGTTCTATCAATGGTAGAACTACATTTGCAAAACTGACCTACAATATCAAATACAAACATCAGCATTGGATCTATATCCCCTTCAATACAAACTATTACACTATGTTTAGTTCAAGGAATTTGAAAGGAAAATGGAAAGAAAATAAGATGGAAAACAATTTCTCTTGTTTGGTTAGAAAGGAAAAGAAAAGAAAAGTGAAAGGAAGAGTGGAAGGAAAAAGAAAATGAGAAGAAAAATTGAACTAAGAGGAGGGAAAACAAAATTCCACCCAATTTGGTGAGAAAAAACCATTTTCTTTTCTCATCCTTCCTAAGATAGTATATACGTATTCATACATGTCGTCCTTCCTAACTTCAAGCAACACTTTTAAATCCTTAATAGTTATTAATACATAAAGATATCACATAAAGTTTCCTAAAAGATACCCCAGGCAATCAGGCATGAAAGGAAAGATATAGGACAATTTCCATCTTAACCCATCATTCAAACATCACAGAAAAGTCCATTTGATTGCATTTTCTCAATGTTATTAACACATTGCAAAGGGCCAATTGGCGATAAGTAAAAAACACCTTAAACAACTAAAAGAAAGAGGAATATGTGTAAAAAGAAAAACCTTGTCGAGAGGAACAGAAGCAACTGCGTCGTGAACCTGCTTGGATTTGGCAATTATTTTGTCTGCTAATCTCAGAATGTCCGGAGCAGATAGGTTCATTGGAAAATTTAGGCCCGGAAGATCTGAACCTTAGCAAAAAGAGTATTACCAATTCAATTCACAAACATATAAAGTTTCCGGATTGCTTCCGAGAAGAGCATCAATACATAGAAATGAACGAATAATTCTACAATCATAAACTGTAAGGAGAACCTGACTGAGGTAGTCGGAGATTACCTTTCCTCTTGCGGCTTCTTTTGTGAGAAGTGTACACAGTGACGGCGAAGTTGACGGCCACGGCGAGAAAGGCGGCGGCGCCGGTGAAAGCCATGAGCTTCTGCTTGTGTCTATTCTGCTTCGACCCCATTCTCTCCGCGCTTCGTCTTCCTCGAGCTGCAAAAATCCGAAACCCTATTTTCTATCGGAAGTTTTCAAACTCTATATGGCGGTCTGGGAATGTGAACTCCGAAATGGCGGAATCGGGGGCCTTGATTGACCCTTTAACGGCCGACAAATCCTCCCAAACTTCACGCGCCGCCGTATTTAATTGGAATATCAGTTGTTATGCCGCGGATTGTTCTATGGCCCGATGTTACGCGTATTTGTTTACAGTATAAATATTTAAAGTATGATACAATAGAACAAAGGATCTGTGGCGCAATGGTAGCGCGTCTGACTCCAGATCAGAAGGTTGCGTGTTCGATTCACGTCAGGTTCACTTTTTGGTTCTTTTTAAGTTTCAACGCCTTTGTCCACCCTTAAATCCTTAATCTTAATTTTTATATAAAATATAAAAAAATAACCTCGATTTTCTGATAATAATTCCATATCCACACTATATGAAATATACTATGCGGTATCATCGATTTTTTGGTAAGAACTTTCGGATACACATTATCCATAATATGCTCTGAGGATCTTTAAAATTTGTAGTAATGTATTCTGAGAATTCTTCAATTTGTCAAAGTAAAGAAAGTTATAATCTCAACGCCTAAATAGATGGAATGTATACTCAGAGAGTCAGAGTATAATAACACGAACTTTAAAAATCCTAAAAAATCTTACTAGAAAATCTAGAGCACCACAAAATATTATTCAGATAATGTGAGACTTAAGAGTTATTAACAGAAAATTGATTGTACCCTGAATTGATTTTCTGAATTAAATACAAGTATATACTATATTCACATTCTTTTTAGAACATGAAAAAGTAAACTATGTGTCTTCTCGAAAGCAATTATAATTACATACCACGGGACGGTTCGTGATACTACTCGAACCTATCATGAACCGCTCTTAATTTAAACGGTTTGGTGTTGGTATGGGATGAACCCTAAAACCATTTGTTACCATTCAATTTTGAAACAGAACGGTATAATACTATACTTATTCTCAAACCGTGCCAAAAATTTAACATTCATTACTCAAATAACATTAGAATAAAAGCATAATTTTGTATAAAAAGAACAACTTTGTTAAAAAGGTTTTGATTTCTGTAACACCATCCGTCCCGGAAACCCAGTTCGTCGCGGCCCAACGAGCCGGAGAGGTAACGTAGACGGTTTTTAGGACCATCTAAAGAAAACTCCTTGAATTACTTTTGTAAAACGGAAAACCCTTGATAAATTTATTAAACTGAAACCGTTGGGAAATCAATTTCCTTAAAAGAAACGTTACGTTGCGGAAGCAATAAAAGAAAATAAATGTTAAGTCCTAATTATTAAGTGCAACAAAGGTGGGTTCAAGATCAAAACAATTTGTAATGTTGAAATGAGAATTAAATCGGGTCCATGCCATCGCCTATCTGCCGCTCCAATCATCCTGGCTAGGCTCCATGATCATCGCGCCTACCTGTGTATAGCAAAGACAACGTTATACGCTCAGCATAAGCTGAGTGGTAATCTAACAGTAGAACACATAGTACGTTTCACATTGATATAGACATAATCGTACCTATACTAAAGTACGAGATACCACATACAATTCGATAGTTAAGAGTTGCATATTTATAAACGATGCAATGCCAAAGATTCATGATGCATGAGTTAGACTGCGCAGAGACCCCTTGCCCTTCAGTGATCATCCCACGCGGTGATGAGTTGAGGAAACCTTAGTCTCCTGAATGAGACTAGAAATTGTGGGTGGTAACTAAAAGCCTAGTTACCATGTACGTACACAAGCCCTTTAGATGAAACTCGTTGGATCCTGAAGGCTCCTGGACGGGCCCGCGGAAGAGGTGCACTAGGCCTAACCTCTTGACACGGTTATGCAATGATATGCCATGATCCTACAACATGCGTTTAAGATGTACATGATGTTATGGATGTCTTGTTTGAGAGAAGTCTAAGTTCAACCCATACATGTATGTTTGATTCCTTATTATTTTCTTTCGAAAACGATTTGTTCGTTAGCATGATGGTCCTGAGGTTCAGAACTGGATGATAATCGACTATGCATTAATGATAATCGATTATCGGCATGACATTTCCTATCCCAAGTGTAACACCCTAATCCGTCCAGGTCTGCAGCCCCATTCGGACTAAAGTATTTAACTTGGTAATCGTAAAATTTAAAACTTTTCAAACACACTTTATTAATCTCAATAATATTTTTCATAACATATACAGTACGAAGTATTTAACAATATTGCGGAAGCGAATTTAATATTGACATATCATAAATTATTTCAAAACTTGTCACATCCATCCTGACAATCTCGCCCCATCTGCCGCCAGGATCACATTAATCTTTCTGTTTACCTGCGTGTAGCAAATAAAACACACTACACACTCAGTGGTGAAGTTGAGTAAGCATATCTAAAGCGTCGAACATCCACATAAACTGAATCTCAATTCATAATCAACCATTTGATATCATGCACACAATATATGGTTCAAACATTCAAAATATTTTCAATATTTTATTCCAAGTCATTTGATATTCAATATATCAATAATGCTCTTAAATTATTCTTAATCTAAGGCTACATCATTTTATATTCAGATCTTAGTTATTCCTAGTCTAAGGCAGTAATTCTAACCAGGCCCTTAAACTATAAATAGTTTAATGCAGAACACAAGAATCGATAATCCACCCTATGAGTCATGTGGATTACGTACCAACCGAACAATGATTTGTCGGGTGGGTGATATCCGTTCTGGATCCCGTACGTACGTTTTAACCCGAAATATGAATTGGTCAAGTAGGTATATCTTAGAGTTCTTCTAGATATCCTTAATAATCATCATCAATATACAAGTGGGTATATCTTAGAGTTGTTCTACATATCCTTAACAATACGATTCATTAATTCATTATTTTAACTTTAACAATTCATGATCATCATTCAAAACGTTCATCATCATTAATTCATTAAAATCAATAATCAAACAATCGTCATACTGCATAATAACAAATAGCGGCCTAGTCTCGAGTGTTAACACCCGAACTTACCGTCATTCATCACATAATGTTTATATGTCACAAACATCATTTTTATTGTACAAAATCATATTTATATGGTTTATAATTAATTGCTAACAAAATAGGATTTTAGAGCATATTTTCAATAATATTTTCACAACAGGATCTGTACTTGAGAAAAATTTATTTTTATTTTTTTAAAATAATCAATTAATACCTAAAAATCGATTTTTATATTTAAAATAATCCATTAATATCTAAAATCGATTTTCATATTTTAAATAATCAATTAAATGCTAAAAATCGATTTTTATATTTTAAATAATCAATTAAATGCTAAAAATCGATTTTTATATTTTAAATAATCAATTAATTGCTAAAAATCGATTTTTATATTTTAAATAATCAATTAAATGCTAAAAATCGATTTTTAAATTTTAAATAATCAATTAATGGCTAAAAATCGATTTTTAGTTTCAAAATAATCGATTAATACTTTTTAAATCGATTTTTATATTTTAAATAATCGATTATATACTGACTTCGAACATCCTCTTATGGACATAATTCTAATCGATTTTTTAGAAGTAAATAATCGATTTTCGGCTACTGTTCATCATCTTCTTCCTCTGGTCAGTTTCGAGTATTATCATTTTTAATCACCAAACTTCAATTAAATTATATAGAAATGTCCTCCCAGGTTCATAGATCATTTTAGAATCATTAAAACATATTTTTAACATCAAATTCAAGGTTTATGATTTTTGGTTCTTCAAACATGTCAAACACAAAACTCAACCAAATGACCATTTATGAACGTAAAAACAACCTATATGAACATTCTAGTCATTAGATATATCTACGGGCTTATCTTGAAGCGTAAGGGAGGTTTTGAAGATTTTCCGGAAAACTTCCGGCGACTCTATCTCACTGTTCCGGCTACCTCACACAAAGATGACAGCACCACTGCACTCTACTCTCAGCAAGGAACAATATAGAAGGAAGAATGAGTGGTTTTGGTGTTGAAATGAGGGGGTTGGGTTGTCCTTAAATAGCCTAGGGAAGAAGAATAAGACACAGGTTTGCAGCTTCCGTGATTGAGCGACGAATTTGGAATCGACGTAATTGAACAGGGCGCGGTTTGGTGTGTAGTCCCTGATTGAGACTGATTTTGGTCCCAAATGGGGTACACTTTGTGTTCCAACTTTCTCCAAATTGAAATCCGATTGAACCGTTGGGATCAGACAGTCAAACTCCACAGAATGATATAATTTTCATATTTATTTGTAATACTTTTTCTGACATCATTTAATTGACCTTTGTTCAATAAAATTCATATATTTAATTCATGTTATTTATTTTCATGATTTATTTCAATAAATCATTTCAAAGTTCACATTATAAACAAATCCCTAATTTGGGTCTATACTTTGGTTCCCCAAATTAAGATCATACAGTAAGTCAACATATTGGATTTATCTCTATGAGATTTATCTAGATTGTGATATTGGATATCAATATATGTCTAATTTCGGCCCAAAGCCCAACAACAATTTATTTTAATCAAAACAAATTTGATTAATTGAATAATTATTCATTAATAATTCTATGGTATATTTTGGGGCGTTACACCAAGGTTCTGCAGCCCATGATAATCGATTGTCTCTTTGGAATAATCGATTGTCTCTTTGGGATAATCGACTGTCAGGTTGGCCTGTCTCTTTGGGATAATCTCTTTGGGATAGTCGATTATCACTTCTGTGATAATCGATTATCAAGCTTTGCTGACTAACCGGAAAGTTCAGCGTGGCCAGATAATCGATTGTCATGTCCTGATAATCAATTATCAGAGCACGCGGGGCCTTATTTGTCTGTTTAATTATAACCAATATGTTGGAAGTTGAAATAAACATTTTAGGTTTTACGTGAAGTAGTCTATGAATTTAAGGGATATCAAGGTGATTATATTAACAAGTTCATAACCAAAAATATTAATAACGGAAAGGTCATGATAATGCGGACTCACGTAGGTTTAGCCAAGAAATCCTATGAATATAACGATATGAAATTACTACGGATTCTAAAGTTAGAGGGAAAGACGTACTCACCTCTAAACGTAGGGGTTAATGGACGAAAAATGGGACGGATGAACGGATGGACGATGAATGCGAATGGCCTCACGCGCGAGCCTTCTTCTCTTCTTCCTTCTCCCTCACCTCCTCATCAGAATGGTCTCCTCGCCTGGCTGCCTTAGCCAAACACAAAGGGTAAGAGGGAAAGAGATGAGAGTGGGTGATATGGAGTGGGGGGGTACAGATGATAGATGATGATGTTGGGCTTTGTGGAGGCTTGTTTGTCGGCCCGGTCCAGTTGGGCGTAGCCCTAGTTTTTTCCCCTATATATATAGAGGGCTTGTACTTGTAATCGGCACCACAAGTGAAATAAGAAAATCTTCCCGTTGCAGCCGTGGATTAGGGAAACCGAACCACGTTAAATTCTTGTGTGTCGTTTGTGTTCCGTTTCTCTCTTGATTCTTGCTGATTATTTGTGTGTGTTGTGTGTTTTAATTCCCAACAAGTGGTATCAGAGCTAGATTGTTCAACACGAGCACAAATTGCCAGAAAATTTGTCACCTAGGGTTTTTGGATCTGTGTGTGCGACAGATTTGAAGGACCGAGGGAAAGGGCAGGAGCAGCGGCAGAAGGAGCCGCCGCCGCCGCGTTGAGGAACCACCGCCGCCGCAGTTGCCGGGTAGGACGTCGCGAGCAGCAGGCCGCGCCGCCCAGGACCCACTTCCCAATTCGCCGCCCCGTCGTTCTGATCGCAGAGAAGGTATCGCCGCCCTCCGTCCAGCCCTCAACCGCCGTTCGCGAGCAGGTGTCGTCCGACCGCTCGCTGAGTAGCCACTGTCGTCCAGCTGTCGAGCCGCTGCCAGTCCGAGGCAGATCCGTCCAGTGGTTACCCTCGTAGTCCGCAAATTGTCGCTGTTTAGATCGAGCGGCAAATGAGTTGTGAGGAGCTACGCCGACCAGAGCCCTGTCGTGCACCGGCGCGTCCCGTTCAAGAAGCTGCTGTCAAGATTCTGAGCTGCCATCAGTCGCGCAGCCTAGGTGCAGATCGGCAGAAGGAAAAAAAGAGTAAAAAAAAACAGTTGGGCCGTGGTTTTTTTTTGTTTTGGGCTGGCTATTGCTTTGGACTGGTCTTATTCGTGGGCTGTGGATTTGTCCAATTTTTCTGACAAAATTACCAAGATCTGAAATCAGTTGTACCGGGTATCTCGTCTAGTCATTTGAGATGGCAGAAGATGGAAAGTTCCGAATTGAGAACTTCGATGGTACAGATTTTAGTTGGTGGAAGATGCAAATTGAAGATTTGCTGGTACAGAAAGATTTGGACATGGTATTGGGTGACAAGCCAGAAAAGATGTCAGATGCAGATTGGGCAGGTTTGGATCGGAAAGCAATGTCCGTGATCCGTCTCTCGTTGACCAAGAATGTTGCGTTCAACATTCTAAAGGAGAAGACAGCGAAGGGAATTATGGAAGCGCTGTCTAATATGTACGAGAAACCATCTGCAGCTAACAAAGTTTTTCTGATTAGAGAGCTGGTGAATACAAGGATGAGAGAAGGCACTTCAGTTACCGAGCATATCAACAAGTTGAATTCGATCTTAGCCAGACTTGCGTCAGTGGGCATTAAGTTCGATGATGAAGTTCAAGCTTTGCTACTGCTATCGTCTTTGCCTGATAGTTGGTCCGGAACGGTTACAGCGGTTACCGGTTCAGTGGGGCCTAATGGATTCACCTTTGATCAGATTCGAGATCTCATTCTTGGCGAGGATGTCAGAAGAAAGAGTTCAGGGGAGTCATCTGGTGAATTACTTCATGTTGGTAGAGGCAGAAGAAATAGCAGAGGTAGTGGGAGCAAGAACAGACAAAGGAGTCAGTCGAAGACTCGTGACAGCTCAGGTGTAACGTGCTGGAAATGCAAGGAGGTAGGGCATTTTAGGAATCAATGTCCGAATGATAAGAAAGTAAACATTGCTCAAGGCTCTGCGAGTGACGAGGAGGTCGCTCTGACTTGCTCTGAGGAAAGCAATGTGGATTCCTGGGTCATGGATTCTGGTGCTTCATTTCATGCTACCCACAGCGGTGAAGCATTGCAGAATCTAGTTGTTGGAGATTTTGGAAAGGTACGACTAGCAGACGACAGAGCTCTTGAGGTGACGGGCATGGGTGACATGGTGTTGAAGACCCCAGTCGGTCTCTGGACTTTGAAGGATGTTAGAGTGGTTCCAGCCTTGAAGAAAAGTTTGATTTCCGTCAGGCAGTTGGACGAACAGGGACACGAGGTTAAGTTCAGAGATGGGAAGTGGAAGGTCGTGAAGGGAAATCTTGTCATGGCCCGCGGAAGGAAGAGTGGTTCGTTGTATTTGGTCGAGTTACCATCTGAGGGAGTGACCGCCCCAGTTCAGAAGAGAAACAAAGTCCGGTTCACAGAGTCTCGTGGGCAGAATAAGGTTGTCTGTGCAAGAGAGAAACCTAGAGCCACTGGTCAGACTCAGGATGAACGAGCGTGGAAAGGTTTAAGGGGGCCAGTCAGAGGTATTTATGGTAGTGGGAGCTCAAGAGGCGCTTCAGCCAAGTTGCCTAGAAGACAGTGGGTCAGGAGAACCAGTATTCCAGCTGTTGGAACATCTCCAGAAAATTTCTTGCTGAGTATGGAGAGTGTTTGTTCTCAGGATGTTCCAGGATCCGGTAGTGTGCGTCTGCAGTGGGAGCCGGTAGGGACCGAGGACGAGTCAGGGGCAGATTTTGCCGTGAATGATGTGTTGGAGCTTGGGAGAGCTTCAACGGGCCTTTCAGTTGTCTGATGATAGGGCCGCTGCAACAGGAGAGCTGAAGAAGATTACTCAATGTACAGGCGATCGTGGCGGATGGCAGTTGATGTTTATCAAGCCTCCAAGTGGGAGAATGTTGGGCTTTGTGGAGGCTTGTTTGTCGGCCCGGCCCAGTTGGGCGTAGCCCTAGTTTTTTTTTTCCCTATATATATAGAGGGCTTGTACTTGTAATCTACACCACAAGTGAAATAAGAAATTCCTCCTGTTGCAGCCGTGGATTAGGGAAACCGAACCACGTTAAATTCTTGTGTGTCGTTTGTGTTCCGTTTCTCTCTCGTTTCTCGTAGATTATTTGTGTGTGTTGTGTGTTTAGTTCCCAACAATATATATATATATATATATATATATATATATATATATGTATGTATGTATGTATGTATGTATGTATGTATGTATGTATGTATGTATGCTTGTGTAATTAATGAAGGAGTTTGCCATATCATACGTACCGATATTGATATACTGATATCCCACGGAAGCAAGCCCCATTGATACCATTGCATCAGCTTCATTCCAAGAAAAGACAAAAGTTGACTATTTAAATTATGCAAAATTGGGATCTTATACGGCACACACAATATAAATAATTAAAGCTAAGTATTAAATGAAAAAGACTAAATAAGAATAAAACGTCGAAAATATATTAAAATAAAATTTTCATGTTTTTATTCTCGAAATAAAACATTAGCAAGCATGATCATATATATTATAAAAAATTATTGTAATATGCAAATGTACAGTGCCACAAACCATCACATTACGACAGTGCAAACTCATATTTCAGGAATAAAAACATAGGATTCCTATTTTAGTATTTTTTTTCTATGTTTTAATCCTATTTAAGGTAATTTTTATAAACGATATAAAAAATCATTTCAAAATAAAATATAAATTGTCTTGAGAATAAATTATATGCAAATGCACCCTCTATATATTTCCCCAAACTAAAATATGTTATGCAAATGCAACATTTTAACCATAAATTATACTCCCTCCGTCCCAAAAAGATTTACATCTTTCAAAAAAATTGTGTCCCACAATCTCCTACTCATTTCTATTAAAAAACCACTTTTACCCCTTACTTTTTCAAACCCTACCTATCACATCATACCTTTTTCCTAATAATCTACACATCACATCCTATTTTTACCCATCACATCAAGGGTATTTTTGGAAAGTCAACACAAAATTATCTCTCCCTTAATTTCTACTTTAGTCAAAATGGGTAACACTTTATGGGACGGAGGGAGTATATATATTCTAATAATTAAACGTATATCAAAACTATATGTTAAGACGATGAATCTAATTTTACTAAATTTAGATTCTAACTAAATATAATTTTGTGTTCAAATTATTAAATAGTTTTACCAAAAAAATTAAACTACTATAATCTTTTTAGGACAGAGGTTAGGAGTACATCATTTCTACATAAAAAAGAGGTAATACGAATTTCTTACTTAACAAAGCATTAGAAAATAAAATATAAATTGTCTTGAGAATAATTTGTGTGACTTTATTTTTTTTCGGTAGAAACTAGAAAGTACTCCCCTTGTCATACTTTTTTGTTTTTTTTTGTTTTACGACATTTTCTAATGAAATATAAGTGTAGAATTAAAATATGAAAATTACATATTTAAAAGTTCTACAAAATAAAATATGTTAATAACATAATTTTTGTAACAAATGAATGATTAAATTAATATATGTAAAGAAATTAAATTAGATCTAATTTGATTAAGTGAATAGCGCATGAAAAAAAAATACTGAGATCAAAGTAGTACTCCTTCCACCTCAATTTAAATTGTCTGTTTTGATTTACAATGTTTCACTAAATTTATTTTCAATTTAATTTATCAGAGTATTAGGGCGGAACTAAAAAATAAATTATACATATAAAAAAACTCTCTCAAGAGCTCACGAAAATAATAAAAAAAAGAAAAAAGTTTGATAATGTAAATAATATATGAACAAGCAAATTAATTTGAGACGTTGAAAATAATAAAGAAAAAAGATATCCTTACCAGTTTCACGAACGAGGGTTTCGTTAATGTCGCAATGGAAATGGTTCCAAGTGCTCCATCTATCAAATAAAAACCACATAAGAAATACATTCAAAATTAGTATTTCCTTAAAAAAAGAGGGAATGATAATCTAGCCCTAATAATACAATATAATACTCTCTGTATTGGAGTATTTGTTCAATTTTAATATTCTACAATAAAAATTTAAAATTTTTGAACATGATTAAATATATAAAATTAATATTAGAGATTGATATAATTTTTTTTGTTCAATTTATTTTGTAAACTAATTTCAAGATATCGGTTTATCGAATTAAAGTACCATATAATTTCATTTAATTATTGATCAAAGATTTATTTTGACTGATTACAAAAATCATAATTACACAAACACTCTCGGACAAAGAAGTATGCAATAAATAAATACGTAAATAAATAAACAAAATAAGGGAAATCAGGGACTATAAGCATTAGTCACAAAGAAATTTATGAGACAACGTATAATAATGTTCTTCTACACAAAAACTTTGTATCATGTGATTTTCCAAATTTAATCACGCCTGTACATAGTTTTATTTTCATTAAATATACTAGTTAATATTTATCATAAATGAGATTTATTCCACAATTAGTTTTCTAAACAATAAATATTTTAAAAGCATAAAAAAATATTTAATATATTTGTGAAGAAATGTAAAAAAAATGTCCAATAGTATATAATTTTTTACATGCACTTATAAAATACAGAAATTTCTAATTAAAACTTTGAGATTTGCTTATGAATGAATTTTAAAATTTAAAATACTCTATAATTTAGTAAATCCAAATTTAGAATATTTTATATCTTGATGAGTAATATCAGAGAATACGGTAGATCAGATAAGAAATAGTAATAAGAAAAATATTTTCTTATGCATTTTTAAAAATTATATTATTATCGAGCATACGGTGTATATTCATATTTTTTAAAATGCGTGCCCCAAAATGGACTTATTTCATTTTTCTTGAAATGGAAAAAGAATACTATTAAGAATAAGATATAAACACCTACCCCATCTGAGGTTTGAGAGCAAGCTCATTTGCCAGGAGGCTTCTTTCGCTCGTGGCCCGATCCGAACCGATGGATGACTCGTTCATCATCGGTTCGGGCCGAGAAGTTGCAGTGGTAGGGCCCGGGCTCATAATTATTAGTATGAATAACCCTCCCAAAACATTTGAGTAATGGGAACCCATAATTAGTTAAGGGAAATTTTTGCCTTTAACCGGGCTCTTGTGTGAATGTATGTCCTTGGAAGATCTTATGGTGTGGGTATATATATATACACATATACGAAGTATATATAAATATAGAAATAGATTACTACGTGTCAATATGTGTGAGATTACACAAAGTCACATGTACACTCCTATTGCAAGTTACATCCTAGTATCCTACTCCTCTCCTCTTGTTGTTTGACTTTTCTTGGTCAACATTTTTAATTTTGATAAGAAAATATGAAAAAAAGGACAAGGCTAGGGGTACACCAACATGAGATACCCTATTTGTACACCAAGCCAACAGAGACACAAAATATCTGTGTAGCACAGACATTTTGTGTCTATGTTAGCTTGGTGTACAAATGTGGTATCCATGTTGGTATACCCCTAGGTTAATTCTGAAAAAAATTAATAATATTATGATATAAATTAAATAGATTCATTTTGATATGTAAATTCAAAATATCATATCATTGTAATTTACATTTATATATAAACAAAGATAATAATGGTCAAAATACTTCATTATATACCACGAAAAAGTAAAAAAAGAAGAAAATTATGTGACCTTTAGAGTTCTACTACTCTTATCTCATTCTTACATAGCGAAATAATTTCCCTTTTTGTTATCCACAAGAACTCTCCAAGGAGTTGTCCTTTGGCCTACATGTAAAATGTGAACATTCTCACATTTTTCATTAGCTTCGAGTAAAACTTTTTTTTGCCAAATGTCTAATTCCTTTACAATTTCTTTGCACTAAAGCCCATAACATGAGTACAAACCTTAGAACCACGGAAAAATTTATGTTACTCATGGTATTTATCAAAGAGAAGTGACACTCACTTTATGTGACACTAGCGGTGTCACTGTCATTTTGGAGCACTTCTAGAGTTCCGTTGTTCCGTTCGTAAAATTGACGATTCTTACCCCCATAACCCACCCCTAAACCCCCCACCCTACCCCCACCCCTGCACCCCTACCCTAACCCCGCCATAAGCCCCCCACAAAATGTGTGGCTATTATGCAATGCGGTAGGGGGTTTATGAGGTTGGTTATGAGCGGTAGGAACGATCCATTTTACAAACAGAGCACCTTAAGTGCCTTCATTGAAATGGTGTTACAAAGTTACAAAATTTAGGATGATATAAATCTACAATTGATCTACAAATACATAAAATAGTATTGTTAATAATGTAACAAGTAATTATAATAACTTGAAATACATACTAAAATTAGTCTTTTCAAATACTTGGTTGAGATCTATCCATGTCTTACACATCATAGAATTGTTTGAAAAATAGATATAAATGTTACCATTCAACTTTTGATATTTTATCATCGGTGGGGTTCTATAACCACTAAATTTCAGTGGCTTCGGAAGCCACCGAAATTCAGTGGTTATAGAACCCCACCATTTTATCATTTCAACTTTTAAATTTTAAATTTGTTAGAAGCTTAAAATGTCATAATAAATAATATTGAGAGATAGATAAGAGTGGTACCAAAAAAACCAAATTTTGAAGAAGTAAATTACATGTTCTTCTTAGTGAAGACAAAGGACCAATGTCGATAACTTGCCCAATGGAAGAGAAGAAAGGATGGATCTAAATTAGACGGCTATGGTAAATGGGTTGGGCTTAGTAAAATCAGATTTTGTATGTTAATTCTAATTTGGTTTTCAGTACAAACCGAATTACCAATAAGAGTTTGTGAAACCAAACCCAAATGAATATCAAACTGATCGGGTTGAGCCCACCAACTACGGTAGTACGAAAAACATAAATAGGAATGACAATAAACTCTTAGAAAATATGGTCTCAATATCACTTGTATTAGCATGGGTAACAATGGAGTTTATACCCCCTAATTTGTAGTTTATGTTCTACTATGAAATTTCTACACTCACAGCCCAATATATAAACCAGAGACATAGACACTCAACACAGCAGACAGGGGTTGGAAACTGTGTTGTAGCGCAAACAACTAAGTTTCACCGAATGCTTCAACACCTTCTCTAACACTGAACCAAACAGAACGAAAGCAAACAAAGACACACAGATTTGTTTACGCAGTTCGGAGTCAACTCTCCTACGTCTGCGAGGCCCACATCCGTGTAATAGCCTTTCCACTAGATTATCATAAGAATTACACAATCAAACTTAACAGATCCTTCTATTGAACAGATTTGTCTACTTACGTGATCGGACACCAAACTCTGTTTGTGTCAAACTAGGCCTATTACACCTTCTCGTTGCTCTGCAATAAGGATGTGTTCTTGACTTTTGCTCAGCCTCACAAAATGCACAAGCTGAACAAACCTTCAGAGAAGATCCATGGCTGATCTTCTTGCTGTAATCTCTCGTATGTGTATATGATATGCTCTTCTCTATGATAGATCAACTCTCAGTATGTTCTCTCTTTCTTAGCCGAATACATTCTTTTCTCGCACAACTTCTGCCAAGCATTAATCTCCTATTTATATCTCTAGGCCAGCATAGGATGAAACCCTAACCTTTAGTTTGTAGAACTCTTACGCATACTGCTTCGTTGAGTCCAGAGAGGAGTCTTCGATTAAGCCAGTTTCTTGACAGACCAGGAATCCTTCTAACAACACAATTCTACTACCATAAGGACACTGCACTACTATCTACTAGTGGTTGTGTGTTGTCAAAAATAACGCCAACCCATATGCTAAATATTAAGGACCTAACAATCTCCCCCTTTGGCTATTTTTGACAAACACAATCACTTGACACTCAGCCAGTTCTAAACCTCTTCTCCCCCTTTTGGAAAAAATATGCCAAAGGGAAAAGTGTGTATTATTCAAAAAAACTGGAGAAGAGTGATATTTAGAAAACTGGATACAAGAGTGTGTACATTAGAACAACTTAGACACCTCAAAAATGGTCATCCTACCTGTGCAAAGACCTGAGTGAAAACCAGGAGACCATGTGCAGATTAATCATTCAGAGTCAGGCTTCATAAACAAGCAATCCTCAGCATAACAGACCCATATCAAAATACACCATAGTAGCAGCAAGAATATGAGTAGATGAATCCATGCCAAAACATGAGGGGCAGAACAATCCCATCAAAATATTGAGTAGCCAAAAATGGCAGTAGTGTTTTTCAATCAAAATTGAGGAGTTTAATCATCAAACTTGTGAAGTTCAGCTTCAAAATCTGACTCCTCATTTGCTAGGTTATCATCCTCTGCATCTGAGCTTTCCTTTCCTTCCTCAGTGGCTTCATCATCTTCACTTTGCTCCCCCTGTGTTGCAGCATCATCTGGTCCATCTTGCTTAGTCCTCTCCCCCTGTGATTTAGCAGCTTCATCTGAAGTGATGTCCAGAGATGACAGGACAATGGCCCATTTTTTCTTTTTGATTTCAGCTTCTTTGATCAGCTTCTTGTATTCTTCAATTTTCGCTTGCAGCAGCTGAATTTCTCCTTTGATGAAAGCTGTTTTGGAGAAGTCTGACTGAAGAACTGCTGGAGCTGTCTCCTGTTCCTCCCTTGTTGCCATGTCATTGTAGTGTTTTCCTTCAAAGTGCCTTAAATCAACCTGGAGGAGAGGAGGAGCAGGTTCTTCTTCATCTGCAACTACAAGTTTCTGAGATTTGACCGTTTGAGCATTTGAAAACTAAGAAGAGGATAAGGAAGCCCATTTGAGTTTTGTTTGGCCCTTTCAGGGGCAAAGCTCATGATCTGGTCAAAGATAATTTTCCCAAGATTCACAGGTATGTCATGCTTGATTTTGTAAATGAGTGTGGCTATGCAGAGTGGAACTGTGTTCAATGGGTAGTGGGGAGCCAGTGATACGCAGCAACTCTGAACAGAATGGCATAAGAACTTTTGAGGATGGAGGAGGGCACTTTTGATTTGGTGGATTGAGAGATACGCTCACCATTTGTGAGATCAGTCCAGACTTGTCTTTCATTCACATTGATTTCAGAGGATGGGGTTTTATGTTCAGGAACTGATTGATTTTTGTAGGGGACATATAAAAAGTTTTTCCTCTCACAAACACTTTGTGATATGAAGGGTCAGTGTGGATGTTGCAACCCTCAGACAAATTGCAGTAAAACTCTTGAATGACTTTTCTCACATAAGAACCGGGCAGAGTGATTGACTTAAGAAAATTACATTTTTTCAGCACAGAGATTAAGTTTGTCTTCGATTCAAAATCCCCAACATCAATACTTCTTTGTGGCAGAATGGTTTTCTTGGCAATTTCAGACATGAATGAGCTAGCAATTGAATTCACGAAAAGATGTTTAGAAAACTTCCCTGGTTTGGGTGACTTTTCGGGTTTTGCATCTTTCCTTCGGTTGCTCTGACTTCTGGTTGTGAGTTTTGCTGGGGGAGATGATGTTTTCTGCTTCTTTAAACTCTCCTCTTGATCATCTCCTGCTTTCTCCTTTCGCTTTAACCCCTTCTTTGGAACTTCTCTTGGTTGAATTTCTTCAAACCCTTCTGATTCTTGATCTTCTTTCGCCTTTTGACGCAGCGACCATCTAGATCCAGTGCGTTTCGCCATTGGTATCTTGGATGCTAGAGTTGTGAATTGCACTCCTTCAAATGGCACATCTGAGCATGCTATTAAAGGTTCTTTATCCACAATTTCTGGTTTTTCCTTCTCTGACCACAGATCTTCCTTCTTTTTGCTTTGCATGTTTTCTTCTTGATTAGTGACTGTGTACTCTAAGTAGAGGGTTTCTGGGATTGTGGCTATAGGATGTAGAATCGCATCGTCTTCTGTTACATTTTTGACTTCAGCGTCTACAGATCTTGAATCTGGTTGCTCCATGTTTGATCCTTCTAGATTGGGTTGTGGGAGATGTTCTTCGTCTTCATCTGCTGCCTGTGTTTTAGGATGAGCATTAGTTTGTTGTGCGTTGTTTGCAGCCAGTAGACGCGTCCATCAATGTTTTGCTTAGAGTTCCCTTTTGAGTGAGGGTTTTCCCTTCCATCATTTAGGAAGTGCATGCTTGATTCTCACCATATTTTCTTGGTAAGATCCGTTTGAGCTTGATAGAGAGAAGCACAATTTTGAGATTAGGGCTCTTGAATTTGCTTTTTACTCAGAAGATAATGCCGAGGCGCTTCTGTTTACGTGACGTTGCTGGTGCCGCTTCGTATTTCTCGTTTTCAATGATGACGCGTGTTAGTACGCCTCCCCTCCTTTCTTTTGTTCAGGTAAACTCAGCAGATTCAACTAATATGAGCACATTAGCTGACAGTTTGTGCCCAATTTTTTATGTGCATGGTTTATTGGAATGGTGCGCATAGACCCAAATTGGATCTGAGTGTCTCAAATCTTTCTCCATCAAGTGCCTTTGTAAATATATCAGCTAACTGATGTTCAGTAGGAACGTATTCAAGAGCGACAATTTTTCCTTCTACTAGCTCTCGTATAAAGTGATGTTTGATATCAATGTGTTTGGTACGTGAGTGTAGTACCGGATTTTTGGATATATTTATGGCGCTTGTGTTGTCGCAATAAATGGGAATAGTATCATGCTGGATTCCATAATCAGTTAGCATTGACTTCATCCACAAAAGTTGTGCACAACAACTCCCGGCAGCAATGTATTCAGCTTCTGCAGTAGATAGTGAGACCGAATTCTGTTTTTTACTAAGCCATGCTACTAGATTGCCTGCTAGATAGAAACATCCTCCTGAAGTGCTTTTGCGATCATCAATGTTGCCTGCCCAATCTGCATCACTATATGCCATAAGTTGTGCTCGAGCACCTTTAGAATACCAGAGACCCATGTTTTGTGTGCCCTTAACATATTTCAGTATTCTTTTTACATCCTTCATATGTGATTCTTTAGGCTTAGCTTGATATCTTGCACATACTCTCACACTGTAGCATATATCAGGTCTGCTTGCAGTAAGATACAACAGACTTCCAATAATCCCTCTGTAATGAGTAGCATCGATGTCCTTTCCATTATCATCCCTGCTTATTTTCTCATGTGTTGGACAAGGTGTTCAAGCACTTTTGCAGTCACTCATATCAAATTTCTTCAGCATATTCAGAGCATATTTATTTTGAGAGATAAAAATTCCATCATGTGTCTGTTTGATCTGTAGCCCCAGGAAGTAAGTCAATTCTCCAATCATGCTCATCTCAAACTCTTTCTCCATGACTTCAACGAATTTCCCAACATAGATTTCTGAGGTTGAACCAAACAGTATGTCATCAACATAGATTTGAGCTACCAGTATGTCTTTACTGTACCTGATATAGAACATGGTGTTGTCTACTCCTCCCCTGGTGTATCCTTGTTTGCATAAATATGCTGTTAGTCTATCATACCATGCTCGCGGAGCCTGCTTCAGGCCATAGAGTGCCTTGCATAGTTTGAATACATGCGTTGGATGTGCTGTATCTTCAAATCCTTTGGGTTGGGATACATAAACCTCTTCTTTAAGATATCCATTCAGAAAGGCTGTTTTGACATCCATTTGATATAGTTTCATGTTCCAGACACATGCCATACTGATGAGTATTCGAATTGATTCAAGTCTTGCCACAGGCGCAAAGTTTTCTTCAAAATCAACTCCTTCCACCCTTGTGTATCCCTGAGCCACTAGCCTTGCTTTGTTTCTTATCACGTTGCCATCTTCATCAGTTTTGTTTCGTGCCAATAATGTTCACATCCTCAGGTTTTGGCACCAGTTCCCATACTTGATTTCGCTCAAACTGTGCAAGCTCCTCCTGCATTGCGTTTATCCATGCTTCATCTGTCAGGGCTTCTTTGACATTTCTTGGTTCAACTGACGATGTGTAGAAGGCATTTATCATCTCAACATAATCGATCTTCTTTTTCCGAGTGCGCATTCCTTCCTGTGGATCTCCGATCACATTTTCTAGAGGGTGATTCTTTTGAATGTGAGTAGGCACTCGGACTTCTTCTGGTTGACTTGCCTGTGGTTCTGCATCTGGTTGATCTTTTGTGTCTGATGTTGGTGAAACTTCTTCAGTTTGCTGTTCAGCAGATGGTTCATCATCTCTTGTGTCACAGTCATTCTTCCATAGTGCTTTGTCATCTACTATGACATTGATGGACTCCATGATTGTCCTGGTGCGTTTGTTGAATACTCTGAAGGCTTTGCTGTTTGGTGAGTATCCCACGAATATAGCCTCATCACTTTTTGCATCAAACTTACTTCTATGCTCTCGATCTCGAAGAAAAAAGCATTTTGCTCCAAAAATGTGAAAATGTCCCACGTTTGGAGTTCTCCCTTTCCACAGTTCATATGGAGTAGCTTGAGTTCCACTTCTTATGTACACCCGGTTTATTGTGTAGCAGGCTGTGTGTACGGCTTCGGCCCAAAGATTTTCTGGCAATTGTTGTGTGTGAAGCATTGTTCTTGCCATTTCCTGCACATGTCTGTTCTTTCTCTCAGCTACCCCATTTTGTTGTGGGGTTTTTGGTGCTGAGAACTCATGAGCTATTCCTTGTTCATCACAGTAGTTGCTGAAAGGTTGGCTGTCGAACTCACCTCCATGATCACTTCTCACTCGTATAACCTTTTGTATCTTTGACCGTTTCTCATTTTGGACTTTGTTGCAGAGTGTGGCAAAGGCATATAGTGCGTCATCCTTATGCCTTAGAAAGCATACCCATGTATATCTTGTAAGATCATCAACCACCATGAGTACAAATCTCTTTCCTCCAATACTTTCAGTCTTCATAGGCCCAAAAAGATCTATATGCAGCAGCTCCAAGGGGCATTTTGTGGATTGAAATACTTTGACTGGATGGGTTTTGCGTATCTGCTTTCCCTTTTGACAAGGACCACATATCTTTGCCTCTTTATTAATGATTTTTGGTAATCCCCTCACGGCTCCTGAATTCGACAGAGTTACAAGATCTTTATAATTCAGATGCCCCAGGCGATAGTGTCATAACCTTGCATCTTTTTCACTTGCTGAGAAACAGAGAACATTTGGGGTTACTTTATAGCAGTTGTCAGCTGTTCTATCACCTTCAAGCACCACTTGTTTACTTCGGTCTCTCACTCTGCACTTTTGCTGTGTAAAAAATACTTCAAGCCCTTGGTCACATATTTGGCTTATGCTGAGCAGATTTACCTGTAAGCCTTGGACTAACCATACGTTTTTGATAGGTGGAAGTCCGGATACGTTGAGCGTGTCACTGCCAACTATTTTTCCCTGTGCTCCACCACCAAAACGAACACTTCCTTGTTCCAAAGTCTTGATGTTTATGAGATTTTCTCTGTCACCGGTCATATGATGCGAACATCCACTGTCAAGAAGCCATTGATCTGGGGTGACCCTGTAACACGTGTTGGCCACAGAAGCATATTGTTTTGGTATCCAGATTTGTTTGTAACGTTTAGATGTCCACTGCTTGCTCCATTTTGTGGCACACTGACGTTGTATGTGTCCCCACTTATTACAGTTAAAGCATCTGTAATGGTGGTAAGGATTCTTGTATGAGAGTGTTTGATGTTCCTTTTTGAAATGATGTGTGCTAGCTGATGCAGTTACTTCGGAAGCTTTAACAAACTTGACTTCAAGTGATTTAGGCATCTTTCCTTTATCTGTGTATCCAATACATGTCATATCTCCAGGAGGCTTAGCCGTAGTCGAGTGATGATCTAGCACCTCTGCTCTTGCAACTTTGATCCACTTTTGATAGGACTTCAGTTGGTTTATTTCGAATAAGATTTTTCTCCTTCAAGTTCTCCAATTTTCCTGGTGAGTCCTTCAATTCTCTCCTTCAAAACATCAACTTCTGAAATCAGTCTGTTTTTGTCTGTGACATTCCTTTTGTTTACCATCAGGAGTTCTGACCATTTTTCTTGCAGGTCCTCGAGTTGTTCTTCAAGACTCACTTCGTCACCTAGATCAACACTTGCACTGAATGCACAGTTAGATTTTTCATAATCACTCTGATCTTCAGTTTCATCATCACTCGAAGATGCCTTGAAAGCTTGTCTCTTCTTTTTAAGATTGTTTGCACACTCAGACTGGATATGGCCATATCCGCCACATTCAAAGCACTGTGGCCCCTTTTTCTTCATATAGTTAGGGCTTTCTGTGTATTTGGTTTCTTTATACTTAGCATCTTTTGATGGAAGTCCCTTAGAGGTGCCTTCATGTCTTGGATTTGATCTCTTTTGAATCCACTGCTTCTTGCAATATCTCTAACTCTCCCATGAAATTCAGTGATTTTTTCCTTCTCGTCCATGCGCAGATTTTCATATTGAGTCATCAGGATCTGATATTTTGCTGTCTTCACTTCCTCATCTCCTACATGTGTGACTTCAACAATATCCCAAGCTTCCTTGGCATTGTCGCAGTTTGAGATGAGCTTGTACTGAGTACAATCCACTGCCCCAAAAATTGCATTTAGGGCTTTATCATTAAACTCAGCAGCAGTTACCTCAGTTCTGCTATATTCTTCGAATGGTTTGATTCTTGATGTAGTCAGATCATCAGAATATTTGCGTGGTTCAGTCCACCCAGTTTCCACGCTTCTCCAGACCCCACCTCCAAGAGATTTGAGAAAAGCCCTCATCCTGCCATTCCAGAAATTGTAGTTGTGTCCACGCAGTAAAGGTGGTCTCTGAACATTTGCTCCTTCTTCCATGTCTCCCATGATATGATCGATAGCTAGTAAATTAAGCTATGCAGGCTCTGATACCAAATGAAATTTCTACACTCACATCCCAATATATAAACCAGAGACACAGACACTCAACATAGCAGACAGAGGTTGGAAACTGTGTTGTAGCGCAAACAACTAAGTTTCACAGAATGCTTCAACACCTTCTCTAACACTGAACCAAACAGAACGAAAGCAAACAAAGACACACAGATTTGTTTACGCAGTTCGGAGTCAACTCTCCTACGTCTGCGAGGCCCACATCCGTGTAATAGTCTTTCCACTAGATCATCATAAGAATTACACAATCAAACTTAACAGATCCTTCTATTGAACAGATTTGTCTACTTACGTGATCGGACACCAAACTCTGTTTGTGTCAAACTAGGCCTATTACACCTTCTCGTTGCTCTGCAATAAGGATGTGTTCTTGACTTTTGCCCAGCCTCACAAAATGCACAAGCTGAACAAACCTTCAGAGAAGATCCATGGCTGATCTTCTTGCTGTAATCTCTCGTATGTGTATATGATATGCTCTTCTCTATGATAGATCAACTCTCAGTATGTTCTCTCTTTCTCAGCCGAATACATTCTTTTCTCGCACAACTTCTGCCAAGCATTAATATCCTATTTATATCTCTGGGCCAGCATAGGATGAAACCCTAACCTTTAGTCTGTAGAACTCTTACACATACTGCTTCGTTGAGTCTAGAGAGGAGTCTTCGATTAAGCCAGTTTCTTGACAGACCAGGAATCCTTCTAACAACACAATTCTACTACCATAAGGACACTGTACTACTATCTACTAGTGGTTGTGTGTTGTCAAAAATAACGCCAACCCATATGCTAAATATTAAGGACCTAACATACTACATATATGGTATGTAATCGTGTCATGTTTTCTCGGCATGATTGATCTAACATGTGTTCATTGTGGATGGAGAATCAATCATCAATTACCCACAATCAGTGGGATCTCCACTCATTAAATGATTTGAGCTCCAGTCAACTTGATCAGTACTCTGATATTAATATTTAACTGGGCACGACATCACATTGGATTCCAAATAGCACATTGTGTTGACCCTTTTTATTCACCAGGCCCGATATCCGTCACCAACCCCCTAGTTTCTCTAGTGATGCACTAGTAAGAAACTAGTGATGAGAAGACCTTGATTCCCGTTTCCGAGTCCGAACTAGCACATCCTTCGCTCATACACTATCTCGATTCGCATATCGACCCATCTATAAACACCCATCAAGGATGGTACTTCCCCTTTTCACCATCAAAATTCAGAGCTTTCACCCTATAATTCCTGTCTTCAACCTTCAATTCATCCCTCGATTTGCTCAACATGGTCACCAAGGTAACCAACCCGGAACAGTAGAAACCAGATCCCACCCTAATTAAGGATCTAGAACTCGCACTAATGAGGGTTCTTCTCGTGATTTCGTCAAAGTTCACCATCCAAAGGACATAAGAGGTGTTACCCTAGCCAACAACCCTGAGATGGGCAGCTACTTGGTGTTGTACTATGATTCGCTCTTTAATGGATTCAGACTACCAATCGACCTTTTTATTCATGAAATCCAAACTACTTGGCAGATTCCTCCCTTGTAATTTATCTCCAATGCCCACAAATACTTGGCCTCCTACATCATCCGTTGTCAGGAGCTGAAAAGGACACCACTGAAAGACAATTTCCTTTGACTCTTTAGCATATGGGGAGTTTTCCCTTACTTCAGTGTTTACCCAAACAAAGCTCATTCCATGGAAAATGGGCCAAGAAAGTTTTCACCATCGAATTTCAGAAGACAACCCACTTGACCTCCCCCACAAGTGCTTTTGTCAAGCTTAATCTGCTTCTCCAAATCCTCGTTTGTGGAATCGACCTTCAAGGGAGATAAAGGAAGACCATTTGATCACCTATGATGAATTTCATACCTCGATGTTGTTCAAGTCTGCTTGGTTCTATTTCCTTGACAATGAAGTCATGGTGCCCTGGCACAAGGGGTAGAAAACCATTGTGTTGGAAGAAGGAACTCGACACCCGGAAAATTCCTCCCCATCACGAGAGGAAGAAGAAAGTGTGAAGGATATCACCGAAACTTCCCCTTGGGATTGAGGAAACTTCATATTTCGAGGCTCCGAAAACCCTCAATCCCCCTAAAAAACAACCAAGCCCCCCGAGTTCTCGCACCAAAACACAGAGGCCTAGAGCTCTAGAGGCCCGCTAGCACTCTGAAGCACAAAGGCCTTGATCCTCTTGACCTCTTACAAAAGAAGAAGTTAGGGAAAACTGAAGGGGAGAACATCACGCACTAACACCTAAACGGCACTGGTTTCTACTCCCTTAGACTTGGAAGATGGCCTGGAGAGCCTTCATTTGACCTGGCCTGCCTCCCAAAACAATGGGTCAATCGATCCTCCCAAATGAGATTCAAATCCTAGGGCCCCCTTTTATAGATTGCGCCCAAGCCAAGCAACCTGCATCCATGAAGACCATCAGTTCTAACTCGGGTGTGGAGACTTAATATTCTCCTTGAGTTCTTCGTGATGAGGAAGTCGTAGGATCCCAGCGTGGTGCTCTCAATGATATCTCCCATCCTCTCAGCATCATCCTTAGTGATCTTGCACATTGAGAAGTAATTCTCAATGCCCCGAGAATGATTGATCTTTTCGATGCCCCTTGTTGTATCCCTACTCAAGATCATCCCGCCTCGTCTTCTAGGCATCTAAACCTTCCAGTAAGCAAACATAGGTTCATTGTGAAATCTTTGGTGCACATAGGGCGGAACTTCCCAATTCAAGAAGGTCTCACCTCCATATCTTTTGACAAAGGAAACCTTGAAACCCATTGGGTATGGTTACACCAGTACTTTTGGGGCAAAGGAAGTGTTGGTGTGGGTAGTAAATACCCGACCGCGGTTCACCTTCTGTTGCATTTTCTAGATTTGCTGGTGTAGATCTTGGGTATCCTCCATCATTATCCCTATCAGACTAGACGTTGCTGCGCCGGGACCCTAGGTTGGCTTTTGGACCTCAACCTCCTCTCCAATTATAAGATTTTTGGGAACAATGCATGCATCCAAGTGTTACCTCGTGGGTCAGATGCTTGAAATAAAGATCCCACCTAGCTAACATCTGGATTAGTCCGCCCACTAGGGGCTCCTCCAAAATTTATCCCCTAGCCTTTTGCTCACAAAGATCTGTCCCTGTGACAACCTTACGAACACCATGGCCCACGGGTTGTGTGGGGCTCTTCATGTATTTGAATCATCATCTTGGATCCCCTCAAAGACACAACTTGGTTCTCATTCTTATTTTGGATCATTTGTGACTCCAAGAGCTGAATGACCGCCTCGCTCTCCCTCCCAATCTCCTCCTCATCATATAGTCTCTCTAGAATCAGGTGAGCGCATTGCCATGTCGTACGAAGTGTAGGATCTCAGGCACTACCAACTCTTATAAAACCAATTGGTGTTAGAAGAGGCGCATACCCTAGCTTTATAGTGCATTCAACACACAAGTGCCTAAGACATTCGTTGTGACTTGGATCACATAGCCTCCACCATAAGACAATTGATGCATACATGATAAACAATCTCCCCCTCAGCAATCGCTCCCACTGGGAATCGAACTCGTGACCTTAGCTCTGATACCACTTTTAGGACCTCAGGTCTTACCAACTCTTCTAAAACTAATTGGTGTTAGAAGAGGCGCATATCCTAGCCTTATGGTACATTCAGCACACAAGCACCCACAATATTCAATTGTGACTTGGCTCACATAGTCTCTGCCATCGGATAGTTGATGCACACATAGCCAACACACAACACCTCTTATGACTCATCTATGGGTCCACGTGAGATGTCAGAGGGACCTAGGAGTGCCCGATCCAACCTCTTCATGACATTTGCCATCGTGCTAGAGATGTTGTCCCTGTAAATGATTGCTCAGAAGTTGCATTCATAACCGGTATAGGAATTCTAAATTTTTAGTACAAAAGAAATGAAAAGTGTCATTTAAAAAAATTAAAGTATAAAAGAATATAAAAAAACTAGTTAAAAATGAAATTAAAAAAAATACTTTTTATTTAAATATAACAAGTTGAAATTTAAATTTTAATGATTAGTGGTAGTGGGGATGAGTGAAAATAAAATAAAGTAAAATGAGTTTTGGTTCTCTACTATCTGTATAATATTATTTGTTTAAGAGAGTTTGTTTTCTTGAAAAATAAATTATGTTAGAAGGATATGTGAAAAATTTGTAATCCAATGTTATAAGTTTAATTTTTTTCAAAAAAATATTGGACGACTGAAACTATGGAAATCAGACACATAGTACTAAACCTACCGAGCAGGAAAACCTTTTGTTTTCCCCTTCTTTCGTCACGCCTAAAAAAAATTAATTATAACCCCTCCCCCATTCATTTCACCTCATTAAGAGTAATAAATTGTTTTAATAATCTGATAATAATAAAAAAATTAAATGTTTTATTTATTTAGCAACCACCCACCCTATAAATAAGGTCCCTTAGGAAGAGTGACACATAATCATTTTAGAAAAAAATATCCATAGCTAAGTAGAGGAAGAGGTACAGAGTAAGAGTGGATTGTGGCGTTGCTGGAAGGGAGAAAGAGAGACGTGGGAGACGCGTCATGGAATCTTCCCGCCAAGATTTGTTAAGTTATCATTTAGAAAACCCACACTAAAGGTGTGCCGTTGACTCTAACCCTTAGATATATATTTCATGTTCTTATATTTTTGTGCATTTTTAATTTATGAACCTAATGAATTTAGATAATAAAAATTGTTAGTTTCTTTTTTGGGTAAGACTGAGAGTTGTAATAATAAAATAATAAAATGTTTTTTTGTTGTGTAACAAGATGCACATATATCTCCATTCTATTTGGATTCGACCTTTTTGTTTTTTAAAAAAAAAATACTAAATGGAAAGCATAACTTATATGGGTCGTATAGCTAATAAAGATAACAAATTCAAATTCATAAATTCATATTTGTTTTAGATATATATACAAGTGTCGAATGTTTGATTACAAACCTTAATTTTGTGAAATTATACATTGTTATACAAAAAAATAAAAGATGTGCAACAATATGTTGTTTGCTATAAAGGGGGACGTGAATTGTTAAATTTTTTAAAAAGGATTTATGTTTGAAGACATTAAACGTGATTTATTCAAATGATTGTACTAATGTTAACCGAACAGTTAGTGGATGAAGTAAAACTAGCTTCAAGATTTATTTTAACGACGTACTCCGACCAAGTACTGTCACAACATGCGCACGAGAACCAAACGATGATCCCGTGAGTTTAGGGTTCACTTTTGATTACTGGACCCGAGGTCACGGGGAGGTATCCGAAGTAAAACTATGAAACGACTAGTGCGGGTTCCAGCCTAGTCACGACTTTGTATCTAAGCTAAGGTTAACTAGGGAAAGTCTAGTGTTTTTCTAAATGTCCCTAAGTAACTCTTTAAAGAAAATGAGATTGTTTACTCAATGATCCCAACTAAGTATTTCAAGAGTGAGATTATTTTTCAATGATTTGAAGTTTGTGAAAAACATTAAACTTGAATAATTGAAGATGCTTTAAAATATATTTACATGTTATGTATATCTACTGTTTATTTGCCACTCAGTGTTAGTCGGTTTAGTCGTTGTGCCCACGCCTTAGAGGGGGGGTGAATAAGGCGTTTGAAAACTTTTCGAAGTTTAATAAAAACGGTGTTGGCAAATGCGGAAGCAATATATAAAACGCAAAAGTAAAAGCATAAATAAAATGCACACCGAATTTATACTGCTTCAGGAACTCCCTACTCCAGTACCTCGAGGTTCCTCCTCAAGGATTTCCAAATCCACTAAGTCTCAGTCTCTTGAACTCCGTCAAAGCACCGTACTATTTTGGCAAACAGCCCTTGCCAATAGGATTCACTCCGAGATTTCACCACGGCTATCTCGAACCGTTTACAATGAAGATTTAACGGCTATCTTCTACCGTTCCCCCAAGGATTTCAAAGGCTATCCTTGAACCTTTACCCAAGGATTTATACGGCTATCCTCGATAGATACAATATGAGAATTTAACGTCTATTCTCGACCGTATAAAGATGTGTTTGAAAAACACAAACAAGAGTTCTACACAACGGCTTGAATATAAAAATGAAGAACAAAACTTAGCCGGTGTAGAAGGAAAGTATACTCTCTCAAAAATACAATTCAAACTTATGAATATGAGAGTATATAACTAGAAACACAAGCTCAAAGTGTGTGTATAAAAATTAGGAATTTAAGGCTTTTAAAATAGCCAAAATATTGAAAATAACTAATAGAAGGATGAACATGCTTGGAATAAAAAGAGAGGATGTTTAGAGCTTTGTTTCTTGAAAAATATGAAGGATTAGGCTTGTATTTATAGTGGAATATGTTAATTAGCCGTTGGGAGGTGATTAGGATTGATTAAAGTCAAAATCACAAATCAGGAACAGTAATCCAACGGTCACGGTAGGGGGGTTCCGTCCATACGGTATAGAGGTCCCGTGCTTACGGTAGCTAGGTACCTTCTCAGGCCAAAACTCTCTAGTCGTACCTATCTCTTACGGTCAAAATCACAAATCAGGAACAGTAATCCAACGGTCACGGTAGGGGGGTCCCGTCCACACGGTAGGGGGGGTCCCGTGCGTACAGTACCTAGGTACCTTATGACCATTTTGACAATTTTTTCATTTTTGTCCAAATCATTTCCAATTTTGTTTAAAACCTTTTGGATGTTTGAAAATGATTATAAAAGGGTTTTAAACATATTTTGTGAGTGTTTTTGAGCTTGTGAATATAAGTATATAAAATCATATCCTTACATTGGTTTCTACCTATATTCTACGCTAGTATGGTGTTTTAACTTCATTTTTGAGTACCGAATCTTAATGGATTCTTGTTGTACCTGAAACACTTAAACAAACGTCAAGCTCTTATATTGTTTGTTAACATCAAAACATGAGGCTTAGCAAACCAAGGCTAACACTCAACTTTATGCTGAGTGTGTAGTGTTTAACTGCATGTAGGCACTAGCAAAGGGAACACCTGCTAAGGAAGGAATGCATAGACGTGGAGGCTGTGCCAAGTCAAGAATTCTCTTTTCTTAAATTACTATTTAATAATGAATAAATCCTTAGACTTATCTTACTTTGGTTTGGGCTTAAACCCTAAATTGTATTTTCTGTTCAATCTTATAAATTATTTTATGTTAACTAGAATATTTGTAAAACTTCTTGATTATCGAAATGAGAATTTTGCTTCTAATTAATAAATAATATTTTATCAAGTAACCTGATTTTACCAGCGCTCCGGTCTGAGTGACTCGGGTCACTCAGGGTGGGGTGTTACAGAGTTTCTAGTTCTTTTTCGAGCGGTATTCTCGCAACCGTTTTCTTGCATTAAATCTCACAATGAAATTATCAATGGTGGGTTTGAGCCCACCAATTATAGAAGTATGAAGAAAATAAATAGGAATGATAATAAGCTTTCCAAAAATATGGTCTCAATATCAATTGTATTGGTGTGACTTAGCTTGAGTTACAATGGAGATTTCACTCCTTACTTGTAGTTAATGTTCCACTACATACATAGAGGATGTTTGGCAGTGCGCTGCTTATAACAATTTAGCGTCTACTTTTAGTGGAAGTAATTTTACTCTGTTTGGCATGTCAGCTTTTGCTTTTCACCAACATTCTTTTGTACATGGAACACCATTTCGGAGAATCAGGTATGAGGTGCTTTTGCTTTTAGCTTTTCTAGAAATCACTTTATCCATAAGCTAATCACTCCCAAACACCCTCATAGTATGTAATCTTGTCCTATTTTCTTGTGATGATTAATCTAACATGCATCAATTGTAGGCAAAGAATTAGTCATTAAAGGATCCAGGCCTAGGCCCAATTCCATAATCCACGCTCTAGTAAACCCATTTAGTACTCTAGCCAGTCCTTGATATTTAGCTAGGCTCGACATCACATTGGATTCCAAATAGCACATTAGGCCGATCCTTCATGTTCACCAGGCATGATATCCATCACAAATCAATTGTTTTAGTTTGGTTTTAGTTCAGTTTTAGTAACTAAACTTAGGGGCTGTTTGGCAACTTCTGAATGGGTAAGTGCTGAACCAGTAAGAGGTCTGAATTATTAAGTGCTGAACCAGTAAGAGGTCTGAACCATTAAGAGCTAGTATATTGCTTAACTATTCAGAGGCAAATGTCTGATCAATTCAGATAAGAGGTCTTAACCATTCAGACTCTGTATAATACTTAACCATTCAGAGGCAAATCTCTTAACCATTCAGACATCTGAACCATTAAGAGGCTGAAACAAACAGTCTGAACCATTAAGTGCTGAATCATTCAGACATCTGAACCATTAAGAGGCTGAAACAAACAGCCCCTTAATATGTACAAAGAAACATTTCGATATTAGTTTTTGTGTATCACTATGTATGAATTCATGAAGAATTTGTGGCGATGCAAGGCTGCTAAGCTTTTATTCCTCTAGGGTTTGCTTCTCGACATCCTGGTGTGGTAAGTCTCTTTATAGTATTTGGCAGGCTCCATTTTATTGGTTCTCCAAGCTATCCATCTCTTCGAAACATATGAGTTTACTCAATCAAAGGCCGACTATTCCTATTTTGTCTTTCTCAAAGGCGTATGTTTAGTTTCAGCTTTTAGTTTATGTTATTAATGATTTCACTATTTCCGGCAACAATGTTTTGGCCATTAACTGCTTTAAAGACTATCTCGAAAAATGTTTATAATATGGAAGATCTTGGTCCCTTAAATATTTTACAGGTATTGAAGTTAGTCAGAATCCCATTAGTTTGTTTCTTTGTCAACAAAATTTCACTTTGAACATACTCTCTGAAGTCAGCCTCCTCGGTGCACGTCCTACCACCCCTATGTGGTAGGACGTGAGTAGGCCACATAACAATCGAATATCGTGGGCGCTTGTGTATTGAGTGCATTATAAGGCTAGTGTATGCGCCTCTTCTAACACTGATTGATTTTAGAAGAGTTGGTAGCACTTGAGGTCCTACACTCTCTATAGTTACCGCGATTTTGACTCAATAGGTTTACTTGTTACTCATCGCTCACCATTTATTTTGTAAACTTAATTTAGAGGAGGTTCTCCGATTTCCTAGCACATAAAGGAAAAACAAATTATGTCTTGTTCTTCTACTACAGATAAATATAGGGTCATGGCAATTGTCGTTTATGTACGAAAACGCTTTCACAATCTCTTATCTTCCTTGGGTGTTACACATTCTCAACCCATTTCCTTATTTTGCTCTTCACATATTGTTGTGATTCATGTCTTTCATGAGCTCCCCAGACATATTAAAATTGATTATCTATCACTTTGTTTAGGAAGAAATTCATGAGGGTTGTCTTCTTACCTCTCATGCCCCAACTACGAAAAACTTTGTTTACAATTTGACAAAGGCTCCTGGCCATGTGCCTTTAGAATTTATGTTGTCCAAGCTAAAAATTTGAAATCTTCATGCTTTGGTTTGAGGGGGTGTTGCTTGATGAATTAGATCACTAATTGTTCTTTTGTATTGTTTCTTACTCAGAGTGTTTTATGATAAGAGAAACACAACCATATTTACATTGGTTCCTTATACCCCCACCTTACATTGCATAACAGCCACATATTTTGTGGGGGCTTACAGCGGGGTAGGGGTGGGGGTGCATGGGCGGGATAGGGTGTGTAGTTTAGGAGGTGGGTTAGGGGGGTAGGACCCGTCAGTTTTACGAACGGAGCACCGGAAGTGCTCCAAAATGACAGTGGCACTGGAGTGTCACCGTACTCTGATGTCACTAGAACCTCACTGTGTGTGTAGACACACACACACACACATATAGATACATACATACATACATACATACATACATACATACATACATACATACATACATACATACATACATACATACATACATATATATATATATATATATATATATATATATAAAATAGTTAAGTATCAACGGTGCACCGAATGAGTAATGCTAGGAGTCACAAACAAAGAATTCACAAAATTCACAAACTTGCCTTTTTAACACTTTCATAAAAATAAGATACACTCAAATAATTAATGATATTTTAATTTAAAATCCATAAAAGCCAAGTTTGTGAACTATATGTTTGTGACTCTAGCATTTTCCGCACCGAATTGTGGTCGGTGTTCATATTATTGTATACATTAATTAATAGTTTTAGGTTGGAATGTGAGGGGGAAAACGTATACATCAAAAGAACAAGTTTCCTATATTTAGCTCTTCTCACGTACGTTATATATCTGGCCAAAGTATTAATTAAATTAAATGTGCCACCGACCATCCCATATCATGATCCATCATAGTCCCACCTATAAAAAGTTTTTTCAATTGCTAAGTTTTTTGTCAACTGTAATACTTTTAAAATTTGAATTGAATACGAAATATATATTTCTAATACGATGTATAATAGTATGAACAATTAGGCTTTTTCCTTTTCTGTTGAAAAATTAGCTTCTAATTTTTTCTAACTCCTAGCTAATTTCTTTCAACTTTTTCCAGTTTGTTGTCACAATGACTAGAAAATTATATTTACACTAGATGACTATAAAATAATACTATATATTCAAATTTATAACATAACATCTAAAAAGTGAACAGAGATGATTTCTACTTTAAATTCAAAATTAATTTTCTTACATATTTATTTGGAATATCATTCGATTGAATGATTTATCTAACACTATTTTCCAAATATTTTTTAACCTTTACTTTTTTCCAACTCCTTCTAAATTCTTTAATTTCTTTTCCAGGTTTCTTATGTTTCAACTCTAATTGTGCTTTTGTATAGTTTCCTATGCTTTTAAAAAAAGGAATGCTAGGTGATGGATATCGGGTCCGATAGGCCCGACTCCAGGCCCAAATAAAGGCCCATAATAGCCCAAAAGGTGGATCAGACGGAGATGACGGGCCAAGCCCGTTATTGCGCATATGGCAAGTGGAGAAAGACGGCCCAGTCATGGGATAGATCAAGGTGACCCAGTCCAAGGGAAGAATGGGACACGTGGCCCACATCATCAAGTTGTGGACGAAATGGGAAGAGAACGAGACCGGAAAAGGGGGAATCACAACCCCATGATCTCCATAATCCTTTCCACTTTGTATAATTTTAATTACAATATTAGGAATACTATAAAAGGGGGGAGAACCCGCCATTGTAAAGGGGGGACAATTGAATACTCAAAAAAGAGAACATGATCGAGTAATTATATCTTCTTGATTCATAGCTTGTTCTTGGTCCGCCATCCGATCGGATTAATCCCATCACTAGGGGTACACCAAATGAGGTACCCCATTTGTACACCATTGAATCTAGCCATTGATTTCCTTTTTTATTTTTAATTTTTTTCTTATCTTGCTTTTGTGTGGTGGAGGTATAAATGAGGTACCCCATTTGTACAAGATTTGGTGTACCCTGACATTTTTGTTTTAAAAATGAAATGCTAAAGGTAGGGTTCAAACCTGAATCACCTTTGGATGGGTGAGAGCACGTAACTCATCCACTTGAGTTGTTCTTAATTCACGCATAAACAAATACTCCGTATATTATTGTTGTCTTAATTCGAAACTTCATTGATTCAATGCACACTACATTAGCGTATTGTTTAATAAAAACTACTCCTTCCGTCTCAAAAAGAGTGTCACAGCTACTATTTCGGTCTCTCGATAACTTTTGTTTTTTACTCATTTTGATTGACTATTTGATGAAATAAAATATTCTTGTCGCATCTAGTTTTGTAGAGCTTTCGATATACTTTTGAATAGTGTAATTTTTACTTTTTATTTCTCTACCAATTTGTAAATAGAATCAATTTAAAAGAGATGATGTTTTACATGTTGTTCGAAGTGTTGCAAACAATTTGGGATGGAGGAAGTAGTAAATTAATGATTGCTAATATGCTACCAATTAATGATTCACTAGTTATTCTTTTTGTTTGAATTTTGAAACTTTCACTGATGTATTATTTAATTCCTGGTGTATTATTTTGAAAAAAAGAATAGTAAATATAATCACGCATTCACAAAATAAGTTTATACTCGGTATAGAGTATAATTCAATTAGTTGGGGTTAAGGGCCCTTTTTCTGGTCTCGTGTCAGGCATAAAATTCCCGGGGTAGGCCCTACTTCTATTCAAACACTAATCCGTAATTTTTGGTAGAGATTGCGAGATTAATATTCGAGGAGTTAAATTTCGTCATTATAATTTATAAAAGTATTTATACTAATATTATTTATCATAATTATAACCTCAAATGTGGAGAAGCCAAAAAAGGTGTTTGGAAGGTGGCTGCAAGAGTTCCGCTAAAAAAGGTATTTGGTAGGTGGCTGCAAGGGTTGGCTGTTTGAGCGTGAAAAGCCAAAATTTAAAAAGCTACGAGGGTACAATTTCGGTTTGGCTGTTGGAATATAGATATTTTTATTATTTGTTATTGTATGTAATTTTTATAAATAAAAAAAAATTATTTATTGCGTAATTAAATAAAAAATTGTTATTCAAATAAATATATTAATGAAAAATAGATAAATAAATAAGTAAATAATATGTATATAAATAAAGAAATAAATAATAAATAGCGCTTCTCCATGTAAATTTCATGAAGCGATTTGCGATAAAAAAAATTCTAAATTTTTATTTTTGAGATTTTGGTGTAGAAATAAAAAAATTATAAATTTAAGAACTACATCGAAAAATTTTGAAACAAAATATGATACTACGTATAATTATATTATTCTATCAATTGAATGAAAAAAATCATAATGACTTTAGAACAATATGTAGTTTAAAATTGTATTTGAGCAAAGAAAAAATATATATTAAAAAAGCATGTTATACCATATAATTATATAAGTGAAAACTTTGTTAAATTAAATTCAATTTATAAAAGCTATTTTGAAGAAGCTAAGTTTGCCAAACATTTTTTATCAACAACCAACATAATCGATTGGTCAAAGCAGCCAACTTAACCAGCCGTTCAAACTAGCCAACACGAACAGCTATCAGCCAACCGCCAACAACTAAATTCCAAAAAAGGTCATTCTGTGTAAAAGATTACCAAAAAGTATTTCAAGCGACTGCGTAGAAATGGACATTGTGAGTTTAGACCGTTCCACGCGACCATTGATCTGAAAATTTAAAAAATAAAACAAAACGAAGAGAATAAAAATGAGATTTAAGAAATATAATTATTTTTGTACTTCGTATTACTTTTTAATTTTATTCCTACCTTGTTGTAGGATAGAATAGAATATAATTGGTAAATTCGTAATAAATAAATAAATA